CAATTCCCCACCGCTTCTCTCTAACCTTGTCCTATAGGATTATGATGTATGTGTGTCTGGCTTTGGTTTGATTTCGTGGGATGCTAGATGAGATAATGTCTCTTCTCATGTTTAAAGTCAGTGCAAGCCGGACTCATGTCATTCTCAGAACAGAATTGCTAGAGTTGATCACCGTTATCCGTTTGATGATAAGATATGCCGTATATACCTCTATGATGCTTTTCAGATTAGCTCAGCTTCCGTGATGAAGCGTTGAATTGGCGTTTTACTATTACCTTATATGAATGTTTTGTTTCATGAAGCGGAATTGATTGTTCTTGATGAAATTCCTCCTTTGTATCACCCGAACTGCTATCGGCAAACATATACGCAGAAATCATTAGTTAGGGATCGAAGAGTATCGCTACTCGTCACAGTTCCTACAAACCCATTCAGTCGAAAAGCACTTAGGTGGCTGTTGACTACTGTGTAGTCGAAAAGCGCATTTTCTTAAGAACTGAGCGCTGTACCTACACTAGCGAAGAAAATCTGCAGATTTACCACATTGACCGAATTGGATCCAGTCATTAGGCACATTTATGTTCTACATGCAGCATGCACCCATGGTTTGAAATTCCAGTTTTGGCAAGAATTGCTCGTTTTCTTATTTGGCACAGGGTTTGTACGCCGACAACTTCAATGTAAAATTGTCCGTATAGTTTTAAGAAACTAGAAATGGTGTTTTGTTGACTTTGGTTATTAGAACTGGTCTCAGAGTGAGAGGTTGAAGTTGTAAAGGTTTAATATCGGTACCAGGAAGTGAAGGTAAGGGAGACAACAAAGGCAAAGAAAGTAGGTTATGGTTAATTAGGCTTCGTATGCTTCATGAAGCCTGTTCTTAGTCGGTGCTTCACTGCTGCGCAGATCATAGCAGTTGTTTGTGCAAGGAGAAAATGGATTGTTTGTGTTCGACTACAGAGCTCAAAGAGCATCTGCCTGAGCCCGGTTACACGACCTTTTAAAAGTGTTAGATTGAGTATGCTACCACTATAGCTCTTTTTTACATTTATTGTACGGTGGAATAGTATTATTTACTAATGATACTTCGAGCAGGATCTGTTACTCGCAACTGTATCAAGGTAACCACACAACTCTCTGGTGTTTTTCTTTCCATTCATTTAATTGGTAATAAACCTTTCCACATATCCGGAATTGATGTTACTTCCGTCTTATTACATGCGTCGTTTCAATAAACAAAACTTCACTTATAAATCTGTTTCTTCATATGCCCTGGTTATTTTTTTAAAGGATATTCACTTTATCTCATCCTGTTACATGACAAAATGCTTGGCTATGCTCGAGCTGTTTTTTAGATTTCTTATCTTATTAGACCATACCATTTCATATTTGTCTAGTTTTCTATTTTCTGCCAACCTAATTGATCCCGCTTGTCTAGTTTTACCTATGTATTTGATCTCAAAGTTATTGGATGGAATTTGTGAGACAAAACAGTTTTGTTGAACAGGATTCCGTAGCCGAGAAAGTTTATTTCTAATTGAGTTTGTAGGCTTAACCACCACTCTAATTCTAGCCTTAGTAGTAATCCTACATAGAGCTTCTGACTTTCTCTCTGAGGTAAAATTTATGGGGTTCTAAAATTCTTCCCCGTCGTTTTATGATTAACACAGTCTGTGTCTGTAATTGTATTATTTGTAGTATTTTTCTTACTACTTTTTTTTTCTCTGCATACGGTTGTAAGCAATAAATTTTGCTTTAAACGTCATTTATAAGTAATACTGTTTCTCCGTGTAGTATATGTAAAATGAGAATTATAATTAGTGTTAGATTGTGATTTAATTGTGCTAGTACATTTCAAGAAAAGTGCATGCCACTGTTACTAGCATGCTGCAAAGCAGAGGGAAGTGTAATATTTTTGGGGTGATATTCTCTGCCCCTTTTTCCACAGAAAAGGCAGCATTAGCATACACTATTGGTCATCCATGGAAAACACCTTACTGCTATCACTTCCCGCTCACTCAGCAGTACAACTTTTCACTCGAAAACCCAACGTAACGTGGCTGTTTACGCTGCAAAGGTAATTACTTTTTCTCCTGCTACCATCCAACAGTGTTCTGGCATGGTAGGACCTCAAGGAACAAATGATGCTACCAACATAGCTCGTTAGGTTATTGTGATATACAGGTCTGACCACCACGTCAAGGTAGGTAGCAGCTGATTGTGAAAGATGATCAGCAATACAAATTACTTAACAGTATGATAAATTAAACTCAGTAGGTAAGAATAATCAAAATTTCGTGCAAACAGGGAAAAGTTCATTCAAAAGAATATGAAAACATTAAGTTATTAGGATGAAGAGAAACTATCGTTTCAATTTAGTTGTCTTTTTGAAAGTGTGTTAGGTTTCCGATCACTTCCGATCATTTTCGCTGTGTTGTTCTCTTCTCTTTCGACCATACAATATAGAAAAGTCAACTTTTTAAAACCTGATTTAATCCTCTTTGAGAATCCAACACTTTTTTCAATACTTCATATGTCATTCAAATTCATGCGAAATATTACGTTTTACAACAAAAGTGTGTCACGTCAACTCGGGGAAATGCCGACTGGTGTATAAATGACTCAAGCTTTGTGGAAAATTAGCAGTTATTGTCGGACAAGCAGTACGCTTCCAACAGTTTCTGACAATTATCATACTTCTCTTTGTTCATTGCTTGGTTGGCATCTGTATCACACAGAATTTAATATTACGAAAGTATGCAGAAATAAAAGGAAAACAACCTAAATAGAACGAGCAAATACATCTGCATTCAGTGGTTCCTACTTAAACAGAGAATAAAAGGAACTGTCTTAATTATTTCTGTTAACTTCTTTTTAGAACACTATATGCTGATGCCTTGATTCACTTAACTGTTTGATCTCTAGGACTTCAACCAAAAAATCGAGTTTGTTCAACTGTACAGTCGTTCGTTGTTATAATCATTATATGAACTAAGCACCTCTCTAATGAATTGTTCTTAACATAGAAGCCACTAAGATAACAACTATAAAACTTGCTCTCTGTAGCTGGTATTTTTAATCAGTTCCACTTATTGAATGATTATTTTTATATTGCTCAAATATACAATCATATCTCAGAATTACTTACTTGATTCTATTACCGATTGAAAGTAATCTAATGGCGATAATGCTGAAGCGTCAAACACTGTTCTGGGGGTACTTAGTGACTTACAAACGCTAACATAGAGTGAAATTGCTTGCATTGTACATCCAACCCATTACAAAGAAACTTCACAGAAATTGACCAACTAATCTCCAAGCTTCCTAAAAGCTAGTAGCACAGTATCTTTATATAAATTAGTGAGATTCAGCGAATAGCGTGGCTTGATTAAATGCTTATTTAGCAGGAAAGATGGCATTTGTACCGACGACTTAATGGAAGACAAATCTAAGTTGTTGATGACAACACAGACACATTGGCTACCCGCTGAAATTTATTAACAGGTGCAAAAGTTATCTAGCGTTCAAAAGTATTCACTGTTTAATTCCCAAGACAGATGTCTACATCTCTTTACCATTTAGAGGTGATTCACATAACTGTATTATGGAAAAAAGACTTAGATCAATCGTCTGTGAAACATATTATGCAGCCAAAGTCATGACTGTGACAAAGACAAACAAGCTATATCCCACACAAACCGAAACAGCACGTAAGCAATTGTACCATATCCCAGTGTATTCATCTATTTACACGTGTGTGGACAGATACTTAGGAAGAAGTAATTGTGATATTTATTGAAAATAGTTGAAGATATACCTAATTAACTTCAAAAATATGTGAACTAAACACATGCGATGGGCGTGGATAACAAAAGTCCATTTTTATCTATTGGGATGACTCTAAAGGCTACCTTAGCAACTGATGAGACTGCCAATTACATTCCTTTATTTTATGGCAACGTACTTTTCAAGGTGAAATATCAAAGCCTGATTGGTCATTTCAACAGTTGTTAGAGTGACTTTTGAAGTCACTCCAGACATGTATTAAAAACGAGTTATAGGATAGGGATGAAAACAGCCTTTAAAGTGTTACTTAGTAGCTGCCAGGGCCAAGCGATTAAAGTTATTGAAGCTCTAGCCATTTGTAAATGTAAACCCTTTTTATGCATGCAAAAGCAATTCACACTCACTTTAAAACCTACCTTGGTAGTATTGATATTAGTTTTCATACGAAGAGTGATGTGATTTAGATTTTGTTTTTGTTCTCTGCTTTCCATTCTCATTTTTTCTATTGACGTGATTGACCCTTTTCGTGGATTTTTATAAAAAAAGTTCAACAGGTCCATGTATGATTATATTGTTTGAAATTATTGTGCTAATACATCGCACATGCTCCAGATAATCTTCTTCTCATCATGCTGTTTAAATCTATCTATGGGACTAAGTGCTTTAAACTTGAATTTTTTAGCCGTAATTCAAATTTACAATGTACATCTATGGTTAAGGGTTTTCATGTTTCGCCTCGAAAGATCTGCTACTGGATTTAGCACAAAGATGTTCATAGAAAACCAGGACAACCTATTGAGGGGAGGTTAGCACACCAAGAATCTTTCTGCATGACTTGAGGTCACCTAGTTCAAAGTTCCCAGTTGGTTCCTGAAATACAAATGTGTCCTGATGAGTTCATTTCTTTCTTTAAAGGCTGATTGCTGCTTCGTATTCAGCTTTATAAATAAATCATTAACATGATTATTTTTGGAAGACAGACTTTCCTACTGGTTAATTTTCATATATTTTGGAGAGTTTAATGTTATGTCTCGAAAGTGTATCAAAAAAATATTATATAACTATGTTGAAGTGAATAAATTAGTAGCTTGAAAAACACATGATGGTGTTTGTCAATAAACTGTGATTCTCCTTGTTTATAAACATCAGTGTGTATAGTAATGAATGTAATAACTTAACTTTTACTATCGATTTGTTTTTAAAATTCCTCTTGACAGTTCACACAGAGACCTCTACTCAAGGTGGTGAAAACCTGTGGCATCAATCAGTTGAAGTAGAACCCACACAGCAACACATAGTGAATGCAGAAAAACCTGCAGTTATTTCAAGTAGGTTATTTTTCGACTATGTTTGCTTTCAGCCATCTATTGAAATCAAGTAATGATTTTCAGAATACCTTGGGAAGACTATAAATCAGTTCTGTGTTTAACATTCCCGTAGACAACTTTGCTAACGAGGAGGGCTATGAGATAATAATGATAATAAATGAAAGTTATTTCAAGTTGGTATTCATCATGGACTGACATCAGCTGGCGAAACATTGAAAACCTGGGAACACTGGACGTCTGTTTCGTCCTAGTATGGGATTCCTCAGCAGTGCGCATCCATGATCCCTCCAGAGATCGAACACAAAACCTTCAGGTTCTGTAGCCAGTACGTTTCGATTAAACCACTGGGTTGAAAACCAGTAGTCCATCTTTCCAACTTCTGTCGCGATATAGTGCGATCCCCATCCAATACCACCGTTGAGTAAATGTCCTGAAGGTCGACTTGGTTGGTCCCGCTGGTCACGACTTCTCACTGAAACCTAGGGAATCACCTCTTGAAGCCAGTCATCAATGAACACTTATTTGGAGGTTTGATAAATATTAACCTGTAATCAATAAATGAATACCCACAAGCCAACTTGAAAGTTATTTGCTAAATAGAGTGCTGGTCTTCCACCTTACTAGTCGAACAACAAAATTTACTGATGAGCTTTTAGGTGGTGAAATATCACAGTACTGCATGAGAATACATTTTATAAGATAATCCTGAAGTAGAACAAATAGTTCAGTGAAGGGAATTCTTTGCAATGAATTTATTTTCAAAAGCTTTCATATATTCCATGTATATGCATTTTGTATGCTGGCAAAACCGTGTATTGATTTTATAACTCACAAATCATTATTGAGAGCATCTCTAACTCGCACGCATGCATAGACACTAAGACTGAAAATCACTTATAAGGTTGTACAACCCTTAAAATAAATTCGTTGGATATTGTGTCCTTCACTGAACTATTTGTTACGTGATTTATTGAGTATGTTCAGTGTACATAAACCCCAATGTGGTTAAAAAAATCAAAAAAGGATTTTTTTGAACGTTTCGCTGTGTAAACCAGAGTTTCTTCAGCAGGTTGTTCAAATTTTTATTAATAAGTATTAAAACGAACTTGACGCTCAATTTTTCCAAAACTATGGTCCGAATATTTTAAGCCTGGATGCCACTTGATTATAATGATGCAGAGGGTCGAGGAGAATGTAGTAATCAAAACGAAACCTGCTAATGATTTGAAAAGAGTGTTTACCTTATTTGTAAGGTACGTATAGGTGTATAAGTAATGATCAAAGTATATCGATTTTGCGTGAAATGCTAAGTTGTTGATAACAACCTTGTAATAATTAACATTATTTACTATCCAACATCAAGTGAATGACTTAGTGGTACACTATCTGGGTTCCTACCTGTTTTCTCACTCCGCTCTCAATTACTGCACTTACTTTGTCTGAGATGATCTGTAGTTAGTCCGGCTTAAGTGAAGTTTGAATGAGAAGATCAACTTGTGGATTAGAAGTGCGATTTTCCGAGTGAGAACGTGCCTAATTGTGAGTCAAATGATTCATTCGATCCATACAATTTAAATTAAACAAGGTTTCACCTGTTTCTGTCTCAAAGTATCCTCACCACTGGCATGTACGTTGGGAAGATTTAAGGTAGATATATTTATGGACTACTGGAGACTTACCAGAAAATTAAAAATTCCCACTTCATATATTGAAAGTCAAATATGAGCTAAGAATATTCTTTTCAAGGGTGAGATTAAATCCACTAAAAGTTCTATACTAGCACATCTAAAAGACACAGGACACCATACCACAGCTTTTACTGTAATACACCATGTTTCGACGACTCTACTGTGTGACATTCGCTTACGTATTCTTCACATGGAGGAAGCCGTAACTATAAGATCAACGAAGCCTAAACTTTTTATTCAAAAAGAACACGTTCAAGCTCTACTCCTCCCTTGGCTTTCTATTGGCTACACGATATTCCCTCAACCCTTTTGTTTCTCTGTTAATTTTCATTTCTGCTTTCGTCCCCGCTCTCTTTTCTTTTTCAAATAAAAAACGAGATTATTATTATTATTGCTATCATTTTAACCAGAATTTTCTCCCGTCTTATTATAATAAACCTTTAGAATTCCTGTTAAAATTATTTTTCATATCATTATTACTCTCATTATCTTAGACGTTTCACATAATCATCTTATGATCACATATCCACTCCATTTGTAGAAAACGACAAGACAGAGACGAAGGAAGGAATGTTTATTATTGACATCTTGTGCAGTAGTCATTAAATATTGTACACCTTCCACTAAGACAGTCATTTGCATAATGTGCTTCATTTCTCCTTCTGCATCCATCTTGATTTCTTAATAAGCTCACATTATCTCTTGTGTTTCTCTGGGCATAATCCTTACCCATTGCTGGTACTTCCCTATGATTTCTACCGCCTTCTCAACATATACTACTTATATCCATTCTGATCAGCAACGTCCACTACACATTCCTGCCCTTAGCTAAATTCATGTCGTTCTTTGTAGTAACCACTCACTCGATACAATGCAACCTTGAACTGTATTATTAATTTTCATTCCTCAAACGTCTGATCACCAATCAATTGACAGAGTTTACGCCCAACTCATCACCACAATTGACATGCATATATAAATTACACTACCATCTGCAAACATAAAGAATCAAATATAAATAATTCCTTACCAATTCCTAAATCCATCCACCGTAAATTCTGGCTGTTAACATGTTATCGTTTTGACTATCTGAGATGGCCATGATAGTTGGGCAAAACCCATGGTGATTGAGGTAAAATAAAAATCTGGTCATCAGTCGGACTTCGTAGCGCAGTTGGTAGGGCATCGAACCAGAAACCTGGTGGTTGCTGATTCGAGTCCGGTTGCAGTCCAAATTTTCACTTAACCTTCAATCATCACCTAGTATTAACATATTGACGAAACTGATTTTATAACTGTAGAACTTGATGAAAAGTTATTGAAAAGAATATTCTTCGTTCTTATTTGACTTACCAGAAACTCCACATCTCTAAAGTTTATTATTGCCAACACGGCTGTCTATGAAAGACATCATTGCACTCTAATGCGTAGCTTACTAACAGATATGTGTTAGTGATTGTTTCAGAAGTTTCATCTTTATACCTTTGATTTTTAACTGCTACTCGGTAAATGATGCGAATATTACCATGTCAACTGTTATGATGAGTAATGATGGATAGTGGGTAGCAGTGAGATTTAGGACACGCGCTCTGTCCTATTATGGACTCTTCGGCTGGATTTACCTGGCTTCCAGGGAGTGATGTTCTGACTAAGACTGCAACCCAGCAGGAATCGCTTCAAACGCCAAAACGTTATCTACTAGACCACCGAGTCGCGATAGCCACCTCTTGTTCGACGGATATAGTTTTAATGTTCTTGCTTGTAGTTATCCCATCGTTGACTAGACCGAATTTACCGGTCTTCATTCAGAGAATGATAAACGAATAAAACCTATACAGCACCCTTGTGCACGTTAGTGGAGTAGTCACTGGGCGACACCTTTTGTTTGAGAGTTATTGATACTTACTACCTGGAAACCCGAAACTCAGTAGGTGGAGTACTGATCAAACCTGTGACTCATTGGTTAAAAGTTAACGGCTTTAACCAATGACCCACAGCTCCTATCAAGAAATAATTCAGGCATTTGAGTTCGATAGGCAAATACTATTCATGCCGTTACTTCTAGTGATAACACTATGGGAAGCAGTATAATGGAAGAATATAAGCTTTATACTTCCACTGAAAGTATTATCAGGAGTTTAATAAAAGTCTTACATATTAGTGAACGAGCGCAGTAGGTAGTTGTTGTAGCGATCTATTCAGCTATTGTATCGAGGAGTATTAATTATTTCTGTTGAACATAATTACTTAGTTTCTTTTATTGGTACTTGTTTGCACCATTGAATGCAAATTTAAACTGCCATGTTTTGCCGAATTATTCTTTAAACTTTGAAAGTGGACTGACAACAGCGCTTCAGACAACTTCAACAAAAAAATGAGACCATTAATGGTGTATATGGTTTCATAGTAGCAACGTGTTCGCGACTAGACAAGATGGTTTTCTTATCTACCCCTCGTAGGGTTGTGGGTGTGCACTGTTGAAGTATCCCAGATTAGAATGGAATATTTGTCCAGTAGTCATACGTTTTCTCTTCGTATATTGAATAAGGAAAAGCAGCTATGATAATGCTTGTCAGTAGAAGAGTAGATAAGAATTCTCTCAATCGTACTCATATTCACAGGGAGTTCTGAAAACTGGTCAACCTTAAGGTTCATCTGCTTTCCACTTCGTTATCATACCACTTCATACAGTGAAAGGCAAGAGAAATGGCAATATTTACCACATCTTAGACATGTCCAATTGTAAGAGCCACTATCACTTCACGACCAGTATTTTTGTTGATTTCGTAAAATGTTCGTTATCTCCACCTGATTCATTTTGAGTGGATGTTATCGTACTGTTCCTGCATATCACCTTAATCGTCGCCGCTGGCGGATATTGACAAAAAACCTATTTTATAGTCCATATCAATAAAAGCAACGTTACCTAGATCTATTCTAAAGTCGTTATTAGTTTTGAGTAAAAGCGCTACTGCTAAAGCGAGTACTCAGTAGTATGTAATGTCTGAAAAAGTGATTACATCTGAAAGTCATAACCTATGTATGGGGTTTATCGATACGGTAGGGGTTTGCCAGAGAAAGGAAATCAAAAGGTACTTAACAACCACATGCATGCTCATGAAGTAAACAGTGAGCCACATCTATTGTGAGGGTTAATAATACTACCCAGCAGCCCAATCCTCGTTATATCGAGAGGGTTTAAACCTGTGACCGACTGGTTGGGCCAGGGTCTGGGCAAAGGGTCAGCTCAATGAGCCAGAAAAATGTCCATTAGCGCCAATATGACCGATTTTCAGCTGTCACCAAGAGTCCTCAACCACTGATTCCTTTCGTCTCGGGGACCCCCGTAACAATTAAGTTAACTAGATACTGAAAAGTCATGATGGCGCATTGACTTTTCAATTTTTGGATAAACTCTTACATCCTGACTAGTAGTAGTCAGTAACCACTTCTCAAAAAAATGGAACAAAATTTTTAGTGTCTTATGTTAATGTAGCACATTGTCATGACCTCCGGGGTAGTAGCTTTTGTAAAAACATAACTTAAAACATTGGTGGTCAGAAAGGGAGACTTTAAGCTATTTTTTAAACTTGGAAGCAGGTAATCGTTCAAGTGAAGCTGATTACACTTGTAGTTGTATGATATGTTCATTTATACTCTGCATATACTGGTAGATAGAACTTTTTCATCATGAATAGTTAAACAAACGTATTTAATTAGTTGACGTATGAGCTTGTAATCACTTCTCGACATCTCTTACTTGTTATTTAGTAACTATCGATTTTTTATGGTTCACGAATTATACACGATGTATGCGGGTTTTTCAGCTAATCCTACCAGAGCTGCTCTTGACATTAGACCATACGTTTGTGAATGTTTTTATTTGTTTCGTGCATACACTGAGTTCTTTACTTCGAAGTTCGGAATCTATTCAGTTGAAATTATTTTATATGTTAGATAGACGTAGTCGGCAGGGAACCCTAGACGCAGGTTTTGTGCTTATTCATACTCGTCAGTAAGGTGTGTCTGCAACCTCGGAGGAAGTGATATTCCCTTCTGAGGTTCGAACTTGCGTCACTTAGTGGTTCAGTCAGAGACTTTACAACTGAGCCATTGAGGCTATGACTGACCTTCTGTAGGCATGGTTTAGGTATGCTGATTGTTCACCGAAGGGTAACCGTTTTCATGTTGTCTAGCCTTGAGTGCTGACCGAATTTTGTCGGTCATTTCGCTGTGGCCACCAAGCTAGCAAAATCAGCATCGCGGTGCATTTTTATAGATGTTAGTTGGATGTAAGCGATCGTCAAGAAGCCCCGGACCTAGGTTTCATGCTTATTGGGACTTAAGATGGAACAACACGAAATTCAATCATCTCCAGTAACCAGCCAATGCAGTCATACATGTTTTCCTAACTTTCTTATCAGACCTGTTATGTCGTCACAAAAGTGGGAAACATGAACCTCAGATTAGTATTATCGATCTTATTGCATTTTTTTTAAAAGTTGATGAATAATCTGGTAACATTATTGTATGGCTCAGATCAAGGGCTTTCGATTGACCTTTTACCCCTTTCTGTATGACTTATAGCTCGGAAATAACTACTTGTTGACTGAAATCAGTTATTGAGTATTGTCTAATTTTTGTGTCTATGAGATTAATTGTTTCATGTTTATAACTTATGGTGCGTTGTGGTTATGTCCTTTTGTTGTACATACAGATGATTCAGGTCGCCGAAAAATATGCGGAAAATAAGCTTTTGACTTAGTCTGGCGAGACTAATCATGTACGAAGTTGACGTTAGGAGTGAATCAGTAAGATCACGTGGTTCAGACAATTACTATTAGGCCAAATCATAGCACCTTCAATTGTGCAACAGTTGGAGACTTTTATGCTGATTATGACGATGTGAATCAGCAGTCTAAGATTCACTTCTCATGTACTTGGTCAGATGTTCGGATTTTATTCAACCTATGCGAGATAATTAGCCTTCTTAAAATATTTGTTTATCGCATGCTAGTGTATAAACACTTTTTTTGACCTGTATGATCGACTAATATTAATAAGGTCTTATACAGTAAGGGCGCCTCATAGCATAGCCAAGTTCACAAGGCATGTGTTAGGTGACCGAGTTGCACATATAAGACTAATTTTAACAGGTTTGTCTGTGATAAATAGAATTGTATTCGGTAATTTGGTTCATTTCAACGTTAAGACCGAATATAACCCGCCAACATACCCCTACTCTTGGGACTGTGGCTCATTGGTGTGGGTAGAGCACTTTCAACCGGTGTCACTAGTTCGAACCCTGCCACAACTACCGAGGTTTGGGCTAATAGATAGTAAGTATCATTAGTCCTCTCACAACATGTGTGGCTCATATGGCATATGTTGCTTTTACAGATATTGGTTACTAATTTACTAATTTTTCTGGCAAATAATATAGGAAGTTTGATCAAGAATATTAATTATTTGGAGTGTGTTACGACGTTTTATTGACCTGTTTTACATCAGCCATTGAAAATCGATTTTTTAATTGCGAATATTTTAATCTGTTATACCATGTGCATCAGTTGAACGTAACTTACCTAATTTACTGTTATAACCAGACATTATTACTGTGATTTTACCCATCCTAGATATTGAGTAACAAAATAAAGATCGTACAAATGAAAAGCTATTTTGACATGTGAAAACAGCTGAAGTATTCTTGTCATCTTTGGCTTCCTTCATGTCATATTTTACTCAAAGTCTGCGAAATTGAGTGAAACTGCTTGAAGTAAGAATGGTTAGGTTATTTTCTGAAGGACATCTCATGAATCATATACATAAAACAGTTAAGCATGGTTAGCTCAGTGCTTATGATAGAAGTCAGTAGTGATTTGTACACTGCACATTGTGACAGGATTGTAATCCTTCTATACATCATCACTGAGTATACAGTGACGTCTTCTGTTTTTCGTTTGGTAAACTTTCATGCACACTAAACCTGTCTTAGTGTCTAACAAGAGATTTAACTGTAGGGAGATGCTGTATCTACCAATTCCACTCTTGTCTGGAATACAAGGTCTGGAGATCTAAGCGGTCATATGCGACCATTTCACAGAAAGACAATACAGCTCACTTATTATCGTGAAACTAGCTGTATGAGTGACAATAATGTTAGACTAGTGTTAAGATCCAAACTCGAAATCAAGATATACTCAATAACCACATGCACACTTTTGCAGCAGACAAGGAGTTACACCTGTTGTATGAGGGTTTCCCAAACTCGTGACCCATCGGTTAACTGTCAGGTGTCTAAGCCAATGAACCTAATTGTTAAGCATAGTGGTCTATATTGAATCTGTCAGCAAACTAGTTAGCATCACTAAGTTACAAATCGCCCCTTTACTCAGGCATCTGTGCATAATTAGTTTTCCATAATATCCAGGAAAATTCCTGAAGTTTATACATTTACTCATACACCTCAGATACGAAATGTTCTTAGGCATACTACCTACTTTCTCTAACTTAATTTTTCTAGTTAATATTCTTTTGGAGCTGTGGCTCACCGGTTTAAAGAGATAACTTTCAACCAGTGGGTCACGGGTCCAAACCCCACCCCACCTACCTAGCCTTGCGCACCCAAGTAGTAGTATCATCAGTCCTCACATAATATAGGTGTGGCTCAATACCTACAGAAAAAATTTGCACAAGGTAGCTGATTGGATTTCTACTCTTCTTAGATAGGCGTTTTTCATAACTTAAGTTGCATCTATGAAAGTTTTCATCTATTACTACTTTGGAAGTTGATTGATTTTTATTGGCCTACTGAAGACTCGACAAGATTGACATCAGGTTTTATCTATTGTCAAACGATATGATATTGTGAAATAATTCTTCTCTTAGCTCCAGTTATTCAAAATTACACATTACTCATTAACTTCGTTTTACTACTCCAAGTCTACCACTGAATCAAATGACGGGGGTCGTTTGGTATCAGTTTCCAGCTACTTATTTCCGTCTAGCTAAAAAATTCAGGTTTATGAAGTACGCGTTCGCTTATTTGCAATTCTTGATCATCGCTAGTTATCAGCATATCGGTTGCTCACGCATAGTCTTAAAATAAATGTTTTTATTTAAAAAATATCCCTCTCAGAACTTTTGTTCTGGTGTCCTAAACTGTTTGGTGATGCAGTGATCGGATCGCGAGATGAAGTGGAACAGGCTATTCACAATTATCTTTTATCTGAATCCAGTTTTAATGCAAGTGAAGCTGTAGTGTTAATGTTGATACGAGGATTGGAAAGAAGCAAACCTCCATCGTCATCCAATATTTCGATCTCCATTCGTGAAATAAGAGAGAATAGAAAGCAGAATATTATTCGGATTTTACAGAATCTTATTCGTTCTCCAGAAAATCTTGTTTATCGACGTTTACGTGCTTCGAACAAGTTAATACAAGATCTGCTTTCTGTCGATGGGGTAGAGCAGTTTTTGACAGTAAGTGTTGTAGTTAGCTTTTTTTTCCAAGTGATTGTTTTATATATTTTTTGAAGAAAAAAGTTTCAACCGCTGGTTTGTGGAAATGCATTGGTTTTAAAATGGTTTTTGTCAATAATGAGCGCCGGTAGTAACTCACCTGTATCATTGGTCCACTTGGAAACGGGTTTCTTGGAGTTTTTATGAAAAGCCATGAACTGTAGGTGTTGACTAAGTTAGTTGTGAGCACGAATAGTTGTCGATGGCATCGGATTATGGTCGTGCCATACCATACCAGAAAAGTAAGAAAGTGTCAACTATTAGATTCTAACCCATTGGCTTAATAATAGCATACTCACCAAAAAATCTTAGTGTTATGGATACGATTCCTTATGGGGCTGTAGGGGTGCACTGCTGAAAAGTCCTGAACTAGGACGAAACGTGCCCAGCATCCTTATATTTTCAATGCTTTTTGAACTGATGTCGATCTGTAATGAAAACAACTTTGAAAAAGTGTCCGTTTTATGGAACTCACTTTAATAGTTTAGAAAGATGCTAAAGCTGCTCCTAGCTTATACTGATCTGACAAACATCAAGGAATTTTCTTCGTTTCTCCGTGAAGTTGTACTGTAGTGTGTTCTTGCTCTTTTGAATAGTCTGTACGCAATTGATTTTGTGCGTTGTTGCTACTGTAGTTGAGGATTTAATCAGTGTGTATTAACTTCCTGTACACTTAAGTTTTCAATTTTCCGGCATTGTTTCTATTGAATAAAACATCGAAGAATAGCAGTTGGTTTTTTGACGTGTTCTGCATTGGAAATTTGATGTCATTGAAAAAGTTGTTGGTCACACTGTAAGTCCATTATACAAGTACGTTTTTATATAATCCCAGCGTGTTTAGAAAATCGAAAACAAGATTTTTCTGAACGTTTCGCTATGTATGCCACAGCTTCTTCAGTAGAATATTCGGATTTTTACTTAACATCAAAATATTTACTGTCAAAAGGCACATGTTGAAATTTCTGTCTTTATGTTCTTGGTTAGCTGTTTTATTGTTCAGACTGGTTGTTTCGAGTTAGTCATCATAAATTCAATAATCAACATACGTGTATGTGTATGTGTGTTAACTTTTTGTAGAAAATGTATCATTCGTTGTTTATCAGGACATTCGTAAAAACTATGGCCCGGATGTTTACAAACTCTAAGTGTCCATGTTACCCACGAAACTTCACCATAAAACACCTACCCCGTTCATGATCAACTACGAAGTCATCCACGGAAATCTAATGGACCATCTTAGCATACATTAAGAATACATCAGAATTCGCGACAAGATTACTGAAACCACCAAAACAATTTCATGCAGACTATATTATGCAGACCGATGGACTCAACACACGAGGAAAACAAAGCAAATAAGACGTGATATAGAATTATGCTCTACCACAGTCCCCACGTTTTACTCTTTCATTAATTTCCAGAAGCTTGGCATTCAGGTCAGTCAGCAATCAATAGGGTGTATAGACATAGCCCCAATCTGTCGAACTGCTGGGTCGGAAGTCAAGAAGCGAAACTTCTAGTAGGAAAAATATGTGAAATCAGTAACACAACAATAAAAAAAACTACCAATCACAAACCATTTTTCATCAGGGTGGTGGTGAATCATCCACGGAGAAATCCTGATAGATTACTTCATATTAAAGTTACTGCTAGTTATGTTGTCTAGGAAGACAATGAAAACTTTATCATTAAACCACCCAGCTCAGAAAGGCGATACAACCAAAACACTCCCATTACTGAATACCTTTGGCTTAATCATGTTATCTGTCCTTGGACATTTTTATTTCATATGATTAAATGGTGCTTAAATTGAAGTACATTAGGATGATGTAGAGTAAAATGCTTGGGATGTAAATATAAACTAGTGTTTTTATACCACCGGTGACACACCTATTGTTTTAAATTTGGTTTATCCTATTACTGATTCCTTGACCTCATTTGTTGTTTACATTGTTTACGTGAAAACTAGCAAACCATTGATGCTGGAAATTTGGAACCATTCTTCATTACGATGTCGACCTAGATTTGGTGCCATTTGGCGTCTTCCAGATTAAAATGTCGAAAGTATTGGATGGAAATGTTATTCTTTTTCAAAATTATGACTTACTTTTCATTTCTTGTATCCAGTATTACATAGACTTTTTTATGAACAAAGTGGACTAAAAAATTAGTATCATTGTGTCCAGATAAACATGTAAAGTAATTGATCGTTAGGAGAGACGATATCGCATTGGGTAAGTGTAAGCTTTCTGAATAGAACTTGCTAGATGTTAAACATCATTTACGAGTGATGAGGATACAAACAAGTGGCAGCGTTTATCTTTCCCTAGATTATAGGTTTTCGACCATAGATATCCTCCCAACATTATTCACGTATATTGAAATCATCGTGTAAGCAATATCGAAGTTTGGCGAACAGTAAGTAGGAAAACAGCCCAAGTCAGGTGGTGAGGAAGTTGTAAGCCATCACCAAGTGAAGTAGCTTAGGCGTGTATGGTGCATACCAAGCCATTTCCTACCTCAACGCGCAATGCTAGCCAAAGTAGAATTGAGTAGGAAGGAGGCTCAGAGTGCTCGGATCAAGACATGGAACCGATTCATGAAGTCTCTGAATGTGGTTTTGAGCCATGTCAATTGTTTGGCTGGGGTTCCTGAGGCGATAGGAATCATAGGTTGGAGATCCTTGATGATATGGGTCACAATGGCGTAGATGTATTCTACTCTTTTACATCTTTTAAAGTTTGAACATTTTCACTAACCTTCATTTCCTTAGTCTTCTATCCTCCCATACACTGTAGTCTACTTTGATATCACTTTTACTACTCACTTCTTTATATGCCTCTGTAGAGTGTGGCCGCTGGAAGCGATGCACTTCTGTCCAAGCTTCTACACTGGTTTTGTCTGTTTGTCTAGTTCTTCCCTAGTTTTTAAGCGCCAAAATATCTTGCACCTGATTATTACCGCGTAATTTTTTAGGTCCTTAATTATTTCTATCATATACTTTGTGTTATATGCCACAAAATACTCCACTTTGATTTCCCTTTTCCCATGTTGAATCAAAGGCATGTAATTTCAAGAAGCAGTTGTTACCTATCACACATCCAACTGAGCCAAATCAAAGTAATGGAGACTCAGTGATCCAGTCAACTGAGGAAATAGCTGAAAATGAAGTCTTTTATGTAGTATCTGAAGAAGATGCACAAGATCGAGAGTACTTAGAAAAGTTATTGAATCTTTTAATGACAGCTGATTCCATCTTCCCTGAATTATATCGCGATACAAAAGTGTTTAGAGTGAGTTGTTGTTTTTGTCTCGTTTTGTAGTCGCTATAAGTATTTTTCCTCCTCATGTGTGTGCTTCACCTCATGCGTTAATCCCACTTATCTTAGATTGAATCCATTTAAAGAGTATGAAATATGAAGAAGTGATACGTTAACACGATAACTCGAATTTCAACGGGTGTGTTCCGGATCTGAACCGATTTCCACCTACCTTGACCTGAGTGACTGATTAGTATCACATAAGCCCTCAATCAACAAGTGTTGTTCATTGCCTAAGTAACATAAATGTGTCATTTTAAGTTGCTTTAGTTTTATTAGTGTGAGTTTTTTGATTTCATCTCATGAAATTGCTCAGAATAACAAAACGAAACAACAAGTAAATTGTTCATTATGAATAATAATGTTAGCGAATTGTAGTAAAGATGATGATCTTATATCAATGGTTTATCATCCAAAATTTTTTATATTTCTCACATAGTAAATTAAAGGATGCTAACCAACTCTATTCAGTCTAGTATTCACTATACATCACCTAGTCATTACTACAAGCAGCATGAGAGATAGATCTATGTTTGTGGAAATATAGTTCATTACCTTAGGAACTCAACTTTCAAGCAGTACGTTCCGGGTTCTATTCCCCACTCCACCTTTTTCAATGTGGGCAACTGATTGGTAACACAAACAATCACGTTACGTGTGTTCCTCATTGCCCAGTCCATAAACTTGTACCTGATTGAGTTACATTTATTTTATTATATATATTGATGCTATAATTATTGAGGATTAAGATAGTCATGTAGTAGAGTTTTAGCATTGTATTAGCGATTTATGTGTCATGTAAATCTTTGACGTGAAATAGAAATTTTGAAAACAGTTTTCAGATACTACTTGTGTATTGATATGACTTGATGGTAGTCAGTTAGTTAGTCAACATCGAAATGGAATCTTGCATTGCTGCTTATAACAGGTCAGGCCACCAAACCTTACACCAGCCTACCAATGTAGAAACCACCAAAATTTAAGATAGAGAAATAAGGAATAAAGTACGTAGACAAGAAAAAGAGATATAAAAAAAAATAGCGAACTTTGGTTTTGCAGTTAAGATGAAGATAATGTTTGGATGTTTTTGTGCCAGTGAAATCAGTTGTGAACCATATCACTTAGAGTTTCAAATCATCAATTTTGGTTGTCACACAGACCTGAACGATGTCTACATTTGTCTACACGGCTTTGATTAACAGTTGCTTCCGCTGCTTATTGTACTCGCAACCTTTCAGGAATTCATTCACGTTGATCTATTGACTCAGAAAAAGCTGCTGAGATCCACTGAGTCTTTATAACCTTTTTTGTAGGGCCACTTATGACCTTTGCAGCAGACTGATGACGGTGCTACACTCTTTCAGGATGAGTGTCACCCCGTGCTGTTAGCTGTTCAGTCACTTTACACTTTAAAAATAGCCTTAATATTCTGATCGTCGGAATGAGCTCAGAACAACTTTTCATCTGTAGTTTTTTTCGTCCATTTGGGCGCAGACACGAGCCTGCTTGGACCAACGCACGATTACTGTCGAAATACCTGCTCTAGGTGCAGCAACAATCTTTTAAAAACCGTCTCCAATGACAACTGACAGCAGTATGATCTTTCTATATGTATACCGTTGAGGGCGGTGGACACCACACTTGACAGTATTTTTTTCTGTCTGAAATTCATGACGGCTAGAAGTAGGTTGTTGTCTGAACACAATTGTAACAGGTGATTGTCGTTATCCATTCGTCCGGCTAGGGTTTCATAAGTCTCCCCTAAGAGCCTTCCCGTTTTGTTTCGCCTACTCATTTGTGCACTTAGATTGTTTGCTATGATAGCCACATCTGAATGTATGATTTACAATAAGAGGTTAAACAGTTTCCGGTCCAACTTATTCTTCACTTCCGAACTGCAGTCATTGGATGCGTAAGCAGAGATTAAAAGAACACATTGGCGGATGTTACTGTTTTTTAGTCCTCGTCGCATCAGTGCACTTTCTACCTTAGGATCAAACGCTTTGCATACACCTGCAGAACTGTGAGAACTAGCCACCGAATCTCCAGAAAGTCGCAGATTCATCGAATTAGTTGGGTGACGTTTAGTAAAGTAATCGTACTTGAATTCCTGCATAGTCGTCTCACAAACATAGCACACGTCCATAACCTAAGATACCAGAGTTCTGTCTAGTGAAGTTTGTTGTCCACTTTGGCGGAGGATGTGGACATTAAAAGGCCCACTTTGTTGTTTAGAGCTATTTCAGGAGACTAGAGATACTGTTTCGTGAACTTGAGTCGTTATTGAGAGTTTGATAACTGGAAGAAACTAGAGATGACGTGGGAGTACTGACTGAAAAATGTCAATAGAGATTGGATGCCTGTGATATGGAGGGTTGATAATGATCTAGGGGACTTTGAGTGCTGATAGGAACTTGGTGGAAAGCTAATTTTAATCATTCTAATCTCTTTTAGCAATTGTGTATGAAAGTATCGTTTTTCAGCCCAGATAATACGTTAATTCAACTTTGTGTCTTCCTAACGTATGTTCAAATATATCGATTAGTGAAAGAATATCCGATAAATAATGCTGTTTTACTGAGTTAAATATCTGTTAAGTAGACTAACATCAGTTTGAGCTTTACTACTGTGATCACCCGTTGTAAGGTCATAATTCTTCTTAGCATGTGGTTATGGAAGATGTTTGGCAACTTGGGTAAGTTAACTGAAATTTTCAAAATAAAGGTTATCCATCAAATTTCTTAAGTAGTCATCACTGAGGAAAGAAATACAAAACCTGCATGATTTGAAAATCTGTATAACAACTAAGAAAAGATAGTTGGGTTGAAGGAATCGTTAGGCTAGTGCTATGAATGAAAAAGTTGCTTGTAGACATACTATACCAATTTCTTAGCAATGCATAGTTGACGTTCTCTTGTATTTCTTGGACATTTCTGTTGGTTCCTGCACACCAGGTGCATTTTCTAGGACTGTGGTTCCTGTCAGCCGAATTCTTAAGAGCAGTTAGATTGACGAGTTCTCATTCACCTTCACTTACGTATATTGAAAAGTATTGGCGTTGGTGTTGGACACACAGTCTCTGTATACAGTATATCGGTGAGAAACAGATGGATTGATGTACATGCATAGAAGTGACCAATCGGTGTAATAACTTTCCTGATGTGTTACTTATTCATACAAACTCAAGTTCATTTGCACCTAAGTGTAGATCACATAGTAGTTTGTTGTGAAATTCAGGCTGCACGTGGAAAATGTTCTCTTTACCTGTAGTTAGTTTGTTTCTGCACTGTTGACGATTTACTCGAACAAGGTCATGAATAATCTGTTCACACTCACCAGGAAATCCTTCTATCGAGTAGTCGTGAAATGTAGTACTGATAATGATTCCTGGCTTGACATTGAATCGTATAGCAACCATAACTCTTGTTCATATAACAACTGACTACGGCTATCGCTTCGGACTGTAACTTCGTGCGTATTTGTTTGCCCTGTTATGACCGAAGGGTGGAATGATCCGGATTATCCTGTCGAAATGCTTTCATTCATCCACATGTTCCTAGCCTCTGATAGGGGAAGTATTGTAGTGGACGTTGCTAATAAGAATGGATATAAGTAGTATATGTTGAGAGGGTGGCAGAAATCATAGAGAATTACCAGCAATGAGTAAGGATTCCACCAAAAGAAGAGCAGATCAAGAAAGAAGCGGAAGGGGAAATAAAGCACATTTTTCAAATAACGGTTTCAGCGCAAGGTGTACTATATTTAACGACTACTGTCCCACTTGTTGACAATTAACATTCCTTCCTTCGTACCTGTCTTCTTGTCTCTTTCAGTATTACTTGCTACCTTCATTCAGTCAGCAGGATTTTTTCCACAAAAGTGAGATGGCGAAAGCAAGTGTCTTACGTTGTCGGCAGGTCGGTAGACATGGAGCGTTCTCTTAAGGTAGTTCGTAAACCCTGATTCTAAATTAATGATGTACATAGGATCCAGGATCCGGAATAGATAAGTGGCGTAGGAATCTACCTTGCTCATTGGTAACCACGATGATGCAGCACCGTGGTCCCTGAAGGCATCCATCTGCTTCATTCTGAGGGTCCGAACAGTATCATAGCCGACATACAAATAGTGAAATTACACTAAAACAGAAACACCAGTACATTGCCCAAACTTTCTTATAAACAATCAAATCTCATTAATGCGAAAATTCCCATTTAGACGTTTAGTAAAAGAAACAATATGAGCGAAGAAATATCTTATATTTCTATATATTAGTATAAAGCCATTGATGAACTAATTGAGAAGAAATATTTCTTCGCTCATAATTAAATTTGTTTAAAAAATTCAACCTCAACTATTTTGTCTTGTTTCGTAATCGTTACTTTTATACATGAACTACAGTTTTTTCCACCGCCATTTTAAAATTTGTCTTGCACTCTTGTTCCGCTCACACCTGCGTGTTACTGATTAAACTTCTGGGCTGTTTACACTATGTTGAGCGTCTAAACAGATGACTACACTAGGCTGTTTCATGATGCGATATCTGATCTGATTGTGGTGTCTAAGCTGTTTTGTTTGGAATTTAATGCAGGTCGGATAAAGGATAGGTTTGACTAAATTTCTAGGAAGCCTCGCTTTTGATGTATTCTGTACCTCAATAACCCACCTTCAAGACCCCAGTGTATCGTTTCGAATAACGTTTCCAACTGTCGGCTCAAAAAGTGTTTTTTCCTTTCAGATATTCAGGAACTCTGAGGCATCAGCAACCGACCTTGCTGGTGTTGGTGTGCCACTAAGTGCTAAACATGAAGCTGCTCTGGATCCTTATTAACAGTGGTCTATGTTCTGTTAGGTTAGAAGGTTTGATTAAAGTGAAAAGTATCTGGTAAGGTAAACGATATCTCTTCGTTAATCGCGACCCGCCTAATAAAGTGTAGGGGTCTGTAAGGGATTACGGGTACTAGAGCACTAGAAAGCATTCAGTTCAGACAACTTACTTCTGGCTCTTTTTGCGATTGGAGACGAAATAATAGTCAGGGAACTGACTATGTTGTTCGATAGGGTATGACAGACTTGGAGTATTTCATCACTTTTGAATCAGACTATCGTTGTAACCATCTTTTAAAAAGGTCTGTCCATTGTTTTTAATAAGCATCAGTATCCTCCCGGAAGCGTCTAATTTATTGGCAGCTATAATATTTCTCAGGCTGTGAAAAATGCATAAGAAACCGATCTTTGAGCAGTAAACGGGGTTTCGTTCAGGTTGTGAATGCATTGGTTATATGTTTACCCTCTGTCAGATGATCGAACATCATCACAAATATTGCAGGGCAAAGATCGTTGTGTTCTTTGATATTAGGTTTAGCTTCGACCTATTGGAGAGAACTGTGCTCTGTAATCGTCTGTTGGAAAAAATATCCTTGAGAAGCTTGTTGACATCTTGAAAGTCTTTTTCTTTCAATACTTCAGGTAGAGTGAAGTTTCACAACCACCTCTCCATTGTTCCAAACCGATAGTAGGTTTAGACAGGGCTGACCGATTTTACCACTCACTTTTAACTCTCCCATCGATGCCATTCTACAGACAGCTCTTAAGGAAGTACGTGGTGTTGGCGTAGACCTCGGGTATGTGGACAATATTGTTTTACTGTGCAACAAGATACAGGTTACTTAAGTTGCACGCAATCAGTTGGCGATTAGTGTCCATCATTAGTGAGTGTTTCTATGAATGTATCTTTGACACTGCTTCTTCTGTTTCGGTTTTCGTTCTTTTTTTCTGTTTATAATTTCTCTTTCTTAGAGTTATTATTTTATTTTGTATTGCACATTTTTTGGTGCCCCTATTGTATCAATTTTGTGTTTGTGATATAAAGAAAATATAAGTTATTGGTCCGTGTTTTGCTATTTGCATAACTCATATCTTGGTAATTTAAAAGCAAATTATAAGTTGAAATCTCAGGAATCAAGAATTAAGTTGTTTGACGTACAATGTAATAAAGTTATTTAGTTTAGTTTTGATAAAATGCTTCATTTTTCTACTTATTAGGCTACTGGTCGAGCCGTATCATGTGTTTCTCGGGACCACCTACCTGATGATTTTTTTATTCTAACGAAAGAAGAACTTCGCAAATGCATTGACCAACAAAGACAAATTATAGAGGAAAGTGGTATGCTGCTTACTAAAGCAATGAGAGAACGTTTGAAAACCCAAGGCATGAAGTCATTTCGTTACGCTGTCATTCGTGTCAGGTTTCCAGACAATCTTATTCTTCAGGTCAGTGTTATTCTTTTCGGTAATTACCCTGTTTAATTATTCACGTAGTATAGTTTCTTCTTGGATCTCCCATTAATCGCTTTACAATATGTGATAAAGCAGTAAACATTGATGTAGCAACCTAGAATGTCATAAAATGCCGTGGATTAGTTTTAAGCCTCTATCTAAAAAATTGGCAACTGAAATACTAAAGTTTCATGCGCTCGCCAACGTCTTACCATAACGAATGATTAACTCGACAGTTATAAACGAGCGATATGTCCCCTAAATTTTTTCGAATACTGAGCTATCTTATTACAAGGTTATTAGATGTGGCTATTGAAGTTGGAAGATATAAAGAAGTTGCAGGTTTCTGATTGTGGATGTTTTTGTGTCATTGCTCGCGTATATGGTAATTACTGTATGAGCCATCTCAAATTTAGTCAACGGGCACTACACAAGGAAGACGGGTTAATTGATGAAGTAGAAAACCTTTACCAACTGTAGTGGTTTGGGCGTGTTGTTACCTGATGAGGTACTATCACATACGTCGATGTGCATGGCCAGCCGAACTAAAATTCGGCTGAAATAAGGCTCGGGTGGCCAGACCATGATGTAGCACCTGCCCATGAAGTTTCTGACTGTTCATCTGAGCCGTTTAGGGAAGTGTAGACTGTGTTAGCTTTACCTAGATATACTCACCCGAAAAATGCTTTGATTAAAAAGACTATTATTTCCTGGCAACAATAAGTGGTTCTACATTTAAGTGATAATTAATGTGGAAGAGGAAGAGATAAAAGTGACAATTTCAATATGGCTGCCAGCCAACTCATTCAATAGGGAGAGAGAGAGAAACACACTCAGCAACGTTTTGCACTTCCATGCAGTAGGTAATGAGCCAGACCTGTTATATGAAGGCTACTGACACTGTTTGGCTGCCCATGTCATCCATAGGTGCAGCAGTGTTTGAACTCGCGACCCATCGGTTGAAGGTCAAATGCCTAAACTAGTGGAGCAGAGCTCCACCTGGTTACATGAACCTATTTAGACAACCATAAATATTCGGATGATAAAGTGCCAATTAGAGGAGAATTTTGATTAATATATTACTTGTGAGTGGTTAGATCAACGTCATTACGTAAATATTACTAACTAATTGACTCCAGTCCTCGATAGAATAGGAATCAATAGTTCGAGACTCTTGGTGTCACGGCTTATAATCAGCCACAGTGATGCAGATAAATTAACTCTTTGAGATCTTCAGGAGTTTCGACATTTTCACTGATTTTCATTTAAAGCAAGAACAAAAACATTTGCAGAAGAAAATGAGCTCATTTTATTTGACGGTATTTTGTCAACTGCAAATTACCTTCAGTTGAAATGAAGTGTTATTAGTAACAATAGCAAAAAATATTTTAAACATGTAGAAATAAATGAATATTCGAAATCCGAGACGAACAATAATGTAGTGAGTCGAGCAAATATAGAATTAATAATCACAAATTTTAGTCATAATCTACGACAATGTATGTCCGATGAGATAGAAAATTCTAAAATTGTGAAAAGGATGTTGTTCCCGACCACCCACCCCTGTACCCCCAACAAACAGACAGGAGTACAAAAGATGGGGTCGTTAAAGAGCAAGTAGGCTACGTAGTTAATGAAGAGTTGATCCAGTCTGAAAAAAGAAAAGCCATATACATACATATGAAATACTATGTGCGGTTACCAGGGTAAAGAAAGGTTAATTACAGTGTCTTTCTTAGTACAAAGCTCAGGTTGAAAATGTTTCGTGGCGAGAGAATCTACAAACTATAATAGACATAGCGTTCTTCAATATAAGTGTAAAACTTGGGGACTGTCGTAGAATCTTGTAGGGATGACACAACACATACTAGAGATATGGAAAATTTTACTACTCATAGAAAGCATATGAGTTGAAAGCACTGTAAAGATCGCTTGTTTGAAGAAACTATCATTCCTTATAGTCGAGGCTAGTGGTATACAGTTCCCCTCATGACTTAAATCAACGGTCCTAGTTGCTTTAACTATGTGGGACTTTTTTAAGTTTCATGTGTCGACATAATATCTCTACCGGGTTACTTCGGAAGCTACGCTGTAGACCACCTGTCTGAACTCAACAATATCCTTCAAAGAGGGCAGATGTCTTACAATTTAGTCAATAAACGTTGGTCACTTCATGCAATGGTCTACTTAAATGTAGTTGTGTATCTAATTTCGATATCAACTACTCACAACTGAATTTGAAACGACTATTTTCTCAAGTTGCTGGTTACTGAACATTAAGAGCCCCTTCAAGTATACGTGTCGCAGTTAAATGCACAGCTGCATTGTATACGCAGTCATAAGATTAATGAAAAACTGAGCAACACACTGAGCAATGCTGAGAGTGACAAATGGGAACGATACCTTGTACATTTATGTTTAGGTTGAATCAGAGTTCAGCGAAGAAGCACCACACAGCATAATAACAGTTAAAGTGAATGCATGTTGATCCCACACCACTGCTTTCAAGTGACTTATTTCTTAACTACCTGAGGAACAAATTACATCACAGTGAGTCCTCGCATCTATTAATCAATGGTCTGTCCCCACCCTAATAGCTTGCAACCGATTCTGTGCTCCAAAATGATAAATTTCTAATGAGAATTGACACGCATCTAAACACATGACACTGTACTCACCTTCATCAATCGTTTTTGTTCCCTTATGACTGGTCAATTCAGTGTTAAGAAATCCAGGACAACACTAAAATTATCACAATGAAAGGCAACGAATGTTACATCTAAATCCTAAAAATTATCAAAACACGAAACAAACCATGACTTAATCAGGTCTCTCGATAAATTAAAATCACAGAACTCTTGTGACAACCTAAACCCACCTTGAAAGACTGACTGGTGAATAAATTTGGTACAATCGTTAGGCAATCAAAATAAGAAATAAATGTGTTTTTAAATATCTAACCAAAAAGTACGCTTAGGTAGTGTAAAAAACACAAACAAATGTGAAAAACTCAAATCACAGAACTATTCCACAATGGTGCATGATCAAAAGCATAGAAGTTTACTTAATGATTACTGCATAAGAGCTGATCCCAAGGGATGGATAAGTCTCATAAACTAGGAATACTAGGCAAATGCTGAAGCATCATTTCAGCAGATACCCCCAACCGATACCTGCTACCTCGATGTGGTGATCGGGTTTGCATATCACAATGACCCAACAAGTTACACTGCCTGAAACACTTGTTCCCTTGAGGTACTACCATAACAGATAGGTCTGTTGGATAGTGGTAAGACAAAAAGCAGTTACCGTTGTAGGATAAATTACCACACTATGATGGGGGACACCGAGGGTGAAGTCGTACTGTTGATAGCCGGATGGGGAGTGACAGCAGCACGGTGTTTCCCTTGGATGTCCAGAAGTGTCACGCAGATGCTGTCTTCCCAATGGGGAGGAGCGGTTAGAAAAAGTCGACCCCAAAAACAGCACGCACCCCTATCCCTTTGTTTTCCGATGCCGGCGTTTTGGGCTCTCTCTATCCGGCGTTCAAACAACTAAACCTCGAAAAATCATACCACAAAAGGCTGTGTGACGAGCTTCAAGCAGTTTTTCCATGGGACCTGTGGTCACACAAATCTTTTTCTCTTTCAGGTACTATGATAAGAAATAGCCCTCCACAGTGTGGCCAGCCGGAAAGTGTCACCCCCTCGCACACTTCCAGTAGTACACAAGATCCAATCAAGCATAACCTATCCTCCTCAACTCTGTTTTCTCATTTACCTTCACCTTCTGATACTAATATTAAGCCTCTTACACCCTCCCCAACCTCTTATTCTGCGACCACTACGAATGATCAAAGCCATCGAAACCCCAGTCGTAGTCTCCTAAGACCCTGCCATCGATTTCATGTAGGAGCCTTCAACATCCGAACTCTACGTCAAATTAGATAGTAAGCATCGCTCGCCAGAACTCTGAAATGTCTAGTCATGGATGTATGCTTTGTCTCAAAGACACCCGTGTGTGGTTATGAAATTGACCTCATCTGACCACAGTAGTGAATCTTTAAAACTCATCTTAGAAGTATCTGGAAACCCAATGACTAGGTCTCGTGAACTCCGTGGTGTCGGCATAGCATTGAGTTGTAGGTCAAAAAGTGCGCTTCTCGACGGGATGTCAATTAACACTCGTCTATATGCTGTCCCACTGGATGGATCTGTAAGAACTAAAGAAGATCGTAAAACTAGGCGATGCCTATTCGTAATCTCCTCCTGTGCACCCACCGACTATATCTCGGATGATGCAAAAAATTAATTCTATTAAAAGCTGTCAACTTTGCTGCAGAAAGCAAAACGTTGAAATGTAATCACAATGCCAGGTGACTTTAACGCTCAAGTAGGGAAGCTGAGCCAATCGGAAAGGCATTTTGGGGAGTATTTATGGAATCATATGCCAACGAACCGAGAACGGTGATCGTCTGTTGCAATTTTGTCCCGACAATCACTTGTTTCTAATCAGCGCTAACTTTAGTCATAAGGAGAGATACTGTCTCACATAGAATCCACCAACTTCAACCCAACGATGGACACAGGTAGATCATATTGTCATATGCCATCACTGAATAGAATCAGTGGAGGATCGCCTCTCTTTCTGACGTCCAAATAGAAACGCGCTCAGCAACTTTGTGCACATTCGTGCAGTAGGCAATGAGCCACACTTATTGTTTGAGGACTAGTGATACTACCTGGCTACCCAAACCTCGATAGGTGTAACGGAGCTCGAACCCGTGATTCGTTGGTTGAGAGCCATCTCCCTAAACCAATGAGCCACAGCTCTACTCTTTCTGGAGCACCTGTTTAGACTCCGATCACGCGCTAGTACGGGCTCGTGTACGTCCACACCTTACTGGTCTCATGAAACAGGCCTTTCTATTCTCCAGCCGAAGATGAGGACGCCAAATACGTATTTATGGGGGAGTTAGCTAAGCATCTATCTGAACATGACAACAATGCTCATCCTGAGGAAACCTGGAGTGATATTAAGTCTGCTGTAGAAACAGCGGTAGGACAGTTGGTAACTTACACCCGAAAGTTAGTAAACGTCAGTGAATTTCCGCAACCTAACCCGAATTGATTGACGCCAGAAGGCTAGTTCCAGCTGGCTCTGACCATGATGAAGAGCGAAAGCAACTTCAACGTAAACTAATGATGAGTCTTCGCGTCGATCGCGAATCGATTGTCTAAGACTTCATGGATTGATTCGGTGTTTTAGTGTAACTTCCTCCTACTTTGTCCTCATGTTTACACTCACTTCAATATGAAATTGAACAAAAGTCTGACATACACGGCTTCCCTACCAATTACGTGATATGTCAATGAGCATTTTCATTACACACTAATCGCTTAGAATGCATCACACCTTCCATTTACACGCTTAATTGTCCGGTTTGACACAAAAACGAATCTGGTAAAAGCTAAGGCTATAACGAAATAGAGGAACGTGTTTTGAGTGAATTTACTTCTTATACCGTAGTTAATAAGTACGACAAGTATGCAGCCCCACCCCGCCCCCCAATTTAATGACAGGAAGTGAATTGGTGGAATGTGTCGACCACCTTACTTAGACAGTCGATGACAAAATCTCAGCTCGGATACAGAAGGCCTGTTTCGCAGTTGCTAACTTGCGTCGTCTGTGGCACCGGCCACCGAGATATCCGACTATCTATTAAAGGACGAGTATACTACGCTGCAGTTCGTCCAATCCTGTTATACGGCTGTCAGACATGGTCGTTATAAGTAGAAGACATGAATCGATTACAGGGTGTTGATCACAGATGCCTTCGTAGCAGTGTTTACGGCTGGTGGAATCATCGTGTCAGAAATGTTGAGGTCAGGCGCTGAGTAATAGGCAAGACTGACAAGTCGATTAATGAGGTTGTGGACCTTAGTCGACTGAGATGGCTTGCACATGCCGAGTCACCGCGTACCTCAACGTACCAAGCTGGAGGAAGTTCGATTGAGTTGGAAGAGGATTCTTGGTGACAAAACAAGACAAGACGTGACACCAGTCGATGAAGTCACTTACTGTTGGCCTAAGCCGTGTCGGGAGATGTCGACTGTCTGGTTAGGGTCCTTGAGATGAAAGGAATTGTTAGTTGAGAACTCTTGGTGAAATGGTTGAAAATCGGTCGCAATGGCGCAGATTTATTCACTATTTGACATCATCTAAAGCTTGAATATTCACATTAACCGTTATCTTCAGACTGTTTATTCTCTCATACCCCTTTGTGTATTTTGATGTCACTTTTTCTATTCACCTGTTCTTTGTGTACAACTGTGAAGTGTGGCAACTTGAGCCGATGCAGCACTTGTGTGCGAGGTTCTACGTCGATTTTATCAGTCAATCAGTCTTGCGTCAATACACATTTGTTTACTGTGATATCAGTGTTCTCTATCCGGTTTTTTTACCGTACTGCTATGAAATGTAACAGCTTGAACCGATGCACTCATATTCGAGGTTTTTCGTTGATTTCTCCATTATCTGACTATGTTATTAATTCGAACATACACGTACGTAATAAAATTATTAAACTGAATTTTTCAGCAAGCTGCTGCGTACTTATGAATTTTTCTACAATCTCTTTCTGTTTCAGGTTTATTTTATGCTGTTGACACACTCCTGTCAGTTCGACAGTGGGTTTCAGAATGTTTAGCTGAACCACTTTCATTTCGTTTGTACTCCCCACCAAGTCTTGAAATTGCAGCACGTTTAAAAGCGCCTCCGACAACATATATTGAGTTAACAGATGACAATGCTAGTGTAGCCGAATTGGGTTTAGCACCTTCTAGCCTGATCAACCTAATCTTCGAAGATGGTCAAAAGCTTAACTCCAGTAGTCCACTACGACGTGATTTGAGTAAATTTATTGAAATACTGTAGAATTGTTAATATCTGTTCAAGCTCCTATTTCATTCGTTGTTCCTGGCTGCTTTTCCCAGAGGTTTTTTTCAGGGTTTTTAAACTTTGTTCCTGATGCCGACACTTTGGGGATTTAAAGCATCTTCCTATAAGCATAAAGTACAGAAGAAGCTATGACTATTTTAATATTTTGTCTGTGATATAACTTTTGCGCTGAAATATATATATATATATATATATATATATATATATATATATATATATAACGTATACCGACTTGTATTGCAGTGTTCTGATGGAAATACGGAATTCATTCTAATCTTATATATGTTTTGCCTTTTCTGTTTCACAACTTTTATCAAGGTATTATCAGTCTTTGATTCAAATAGACTGATTTTCTGTTACGTTGACACGACATTTTTGTCGTCTAAAATCACGGAAGTATTATGCTTCGTGCTGATGTTGAAATATGTACTTTGATTTAGATAACGTTCTTGATGTGGATATGGTTACCGATAGACACTGAAAGCTTACAATCACGTGATATTACAAACTAACTGCCTAAGTAGGCTGAATATACAGTAACACACTGGGCTTATATACTTCATCGAAGTTGAAAGGACAGAATTTCATTCATTTCAGAAGATTGATAGGACAAAAAGAATTTTTTTCTGCTAACAGCTCCGCACCTAATTAAAAACAATATTTAAATCGTGTGGCGTTCCGGTTTATTCACACCTACACTAAGATAGTGTCCAAGGAACTGAAATATTTTACATAATAATTTCACAAGCGTGTTTGCACAGCTTTGAACAGATTAGAGTGATAATAGTATACGGATAACGTGGGTTCCAATCTTACATAGGAAATCTGTTCCCTTGTGATTACAGATACGCCTTGCTGACAGGTGCCAACAAGCACGGAACCTAGGTGGAACAGGGCTTCCTGTCGATCGCCTCCAATCAACTAATATCCATCAAAATGTATCATGATGGTGAGCCTCTTAGCTTAGTGGCTACACTGCAAACTAACCAGTGAAATTAGGTCAGCACTTAGGACTAGACAACATGAAAAAAGTAACTTTCTAGTGACCAACCAATATATGTGGGAAGAGTGTATCAAAAGACAAATGAAAAATTTTGTCAATAAAGAAGGATATCTTATTATTCTGTTCAGAATGTATTATAGCATTTTGGTGATCATCTTACCATCGCAATGCGATGTGCTTAACGATGTAAAACGAATCAAATATTCGTGCGATAAATAGGTAGGTAGATAATGTTAAAATAAGACTTGGAATTGTTATGCAACTGCCCATGTTACCACACTGTACATCAAGTAAGGATGTATCAATGTGGAAGATAAAGAAATAAGGAAAAAAGTAATCACAAGTGGCACCAATTCATGAAAAGAGAACTAAAGGGGATTAGACAATAATGAAATACTCTATGATGATTAAGATGAAGATAATTTTTAGAAACATCTGCTCATTGAGATCGATTATGAGCCATATTGCCTGGAGTCTCTAAATACCGATTTCGGTTATCGCACGGACCCCAACCGGTTAGTCTACAATCCCCCACACGGCTCAGACCTACAGTCAAAGACTGCATAGATTGATTCTGTGTTTTAGTCTGGTCGTGTCTAACCTTTTTCTAACCTCAACCTACTCCAACTAGCAGTTTGCAGTGGGGCAGACGGTAACTAGGCTAGCGTGGTATATGTCCCAGGCATCTGGGGTCGATGAAGGTTCACGATCTCATCAACTGACTTTCCTTTTCTGCCCAAAACTCTAAGTCCAACGTCTACGTTGTTGACGTGGCGTATAAGCTACGAGGGCAATGGCGGCCGGACACCTGAAGACTTCTCATGTCCTCTACCCTCAATGGCCATGTTTTACAGACATATAGCAGAACAAGGCTAACTGAAGCGTCACATACTTGGCTCTAAAAGGTAGTTGGATATTATGACGGTGTTATGAATGTTGTCCGTTACCGCAAACTAAGCAGGCCTTTTGTTTCCCTGCCGACATTTCGTCGGCCACTGGCCCTGTCAGGTCTGATCTGACTCCTTGGGTAAGTTAAGTGGTCAACCACTTCATTCTTTATTGTTAAACAAGGCAAGAGCGATTACCAGTCCTGGAGCAACAATTTATATTTGGGCGTTAAGAAACGCGTTGTGAACTGCCACTGAAGGTATCCGTAGGCTCTGCATTTTCAACCAACTTGATTATTGGATTTTGAGGTGAACTGACAGAAGTAGGAAATGTAAGCCATTGGATTCTAATCCATTGATGGTGAACGAAGTTACCTTAGAACACCAGTGATGACTTAAACATCTTTCGTATGTAGTATTCCAACGGTCGGCGGTATAGCGGACACGGTCAATCTGTGAAATTGCGTCCTAGAAGGAAGAAGAAATTAATGTCACCCGGATACTTCCCTTTGCTGCATTTTTTTATTTAGTCACTCTAATCGGCACTACTACTATATCTTAGCTTTCTACCAATATGATTCTTTATTCACTATATCTTACAATGTTGCAGTAGCACTAAATAAATGACATTTCGCATTATTTCGTATTGAAAATGATATCGAAGTTACCACAACTTAAGATCGAGTTTTTAACAAGAGCAGAATTTTCATATTAAGTTGAATCTTTGGAGTTGTGCAACGTTTTGGTTCTTGGAACGAACCTACATAGAAGTAGTCTATCCTTACCAACTTGTTTAACGAATCAATATCCGAATTGAGCACGGTCGTGATCCCATTCCTATGCTTTCGTCATATGTATCACAACATTATCTACTAGACAATAGTTTGAGCACAATATACATCATATAAATGAGTAGGGTTGTGCTCATTGAGATGGCTAGTATTTATAGGTGATTCGTACTAAATAAATTATTCTCCTTTAACTGCTGATACTATTACAGCGGTAAGCTGTACGCAAATCCTTAAGGGGTCAAGAGAAAGCTCTTCATTTGAACTGTAAAATAATGTTACTAAGAACGTTCTAAGTAGAATAACTCAAAATACTACGATTGGTCATGTTTATCTGAGATTCGTAGTGGTAGAACTAGGGAATTCTGCTGTCCTTGAGCGACTTCGAGATGACGAGTTAGAAACGAAACGGTTAGTCGGTGATATCTTGATAAGCAGCTTATTCATATTACAAGTAGAAAAAAATATAGAATCTGCTTGATTTTCAAGTTTCCAGAGGTAACAAGTGAGTGTTAAGGGCATAAAGACTTGTCTGGGTTTACGAACCGAAGTTTAAAACTACCCCATTAAGAGTTAGGTATGAAATCTTTATTTTTTGGCTTTCAAGTTATACGAGTATAAAATTAACTAGTAAAACAGTATCAGTGTTGAAAAGACGACCTACTGGCTAAATAATTTCTGTCCTATGGATACACAGGGAATGCTGTCGTCTACCTATCCAAATTTTGCCATTCAATGGTTAGGACTAGGGTCTGTATGTGTTATTATGTGACATATATTAGTACTAAATCGTAACCTAATGTGAGCTGCCAATTAAGGTTTTCTCGATTTCGAGACAGCACAAAGATTTGAATGAATACACAGGTTTGGTAAATACCGTATATTGGTCATCTGTCATTTCTCGAGATAGTACAAACTTTCTACTGGCTCTAAAATATGACAAAGCGTTTAGAGTCACTTGGCAAGTCGCTTAACGACGGTAGAACTCTTCAGTTTCCCTTCCTCTCGTTCGGTATAACAGACATGTAAGCAATTCCATTTCACTGGTTAGTTCAGTGCTCTCATCGACATTTTCCAGTGTTACTTCGTTATATGGCTACTTCGAATATGAACTCTGTTTTTAAATAAGTGCATGATGACGTGCTCAGGAAGTAAACATCGCAAAAAGATTCATAGACTTATAAAACGTAATTGTTTCCTTAAATTTCATGATAATAACAATAAGATCACAAAAATGAATGCAAGTGAAGAGCCACATCTATTGTGTGAAAGCTTACAATACCATCTGGTTATCCAAACTTCAATGAGTAGTGGGATTGGAACGGATGACCTACTGGTTGAAGACAGAATTCTTAGACCCAGGAATAATAATTTCCAACATCGAACCAGGACGAAATGTGCTGAAAATCATACGACTTGTTCTGCATGAGTAAATAGATCTAGGAAACTTCATGAAGAGATAATGACTCAGAAATGAAAATCCATATTCATCATATAATGAGTGAATAGAATAGGAATACTCAGTCCATAACAGGCGTTTTTGATAAACGCAGAGGTCTAAATAAAGAAGCAGTGTCATCGTATCAATAATGCTGTCATTGAATACTACAGCGCGTAGAAAATGAACACTGAATTAGGCTCTTCCATTATTTCCAAGTGCCAGTGTATTGAAAATTCTTTATAAACATCACGCTTGAGCATCACATAAACTGTCTCCATCATTTGTTGATTAATCTTTATCTTGAATAGTATTCAGTGAACGGTTTTCGGATAATAGAGAATATTTGTAGCTCAGGAGGATTATTTTGGCGATTGTGTTCTCTGAGCTAGATAGTTGCCAGATTGTCTTGCCTTACACGAAGAACACCAAGATCACGGCTAGATTATTGAAGCCTTTTGGAATCCCCGTAACTTACAAGCCCCCGAAATCTCCTCAGTCTCTGTTACACAGGTAAAAAGATGCAATAGCGAAGGGAAAAAAAACGTTATCTACAAAGTAAACTGCAAAAAACACTAAATCGGACAGAATGATCGCCCTCTTTGTATCCACCTACATGAACATTAATTAGCAGTGAAGCCCTATGACATATCTTTGCTCATATCATTGCACATGGACAACTGTGGACATGGACTTGACTAGGAAAATGTGGAAATTCTGGAGGGGAAATACAGAGAATTTTTAGAAGCTTAGCATTTGGATCAGTCAGCGATCAATAGGCATAGTGACACTAACGCAATTTATCAACCAGTAAGGAACAATGAGGTCAAAGTTTGCATCAGTAGAACAACCATTTGAAATAATTATGGAGACGATGACAAGATTTTAGCAGGGATAACCAACTACACACAAGACCACTAGGGCAAGGTACTAAGCCACTTGTGGAAAAAAAAACCATAGCAAACTTCTTCCTGGAGTTTGTGCTGGTGATGTCTAGAATTGCAATGGAAGCTTCACTATTAAACACAAAATCATCAAAAAAGTGAAAGGTTTCTCAATCATAACGTTAGATCAAACTTTAAGATGTCTGAATCTATCACCCGTACAGGTTTATAGTAAATGCCTACTGCCTGATAAAATTCGCTTTGTGGTCTACCCCCATCAGTTAAGTCTACCTTATAGTAATCATCCTTGTCACAAGTTTCCTAACAGACAAGTCTCTAGTTGAATTTTGTTACTAAAGCATCTGTACCATGCAGCGATCGATGTAATTTTCCCCCTGTTCCAGTATATCACAAGCCGTAATACTTTCAGTGGTTAGGTATTTTTGACATAACAGCAGCTAATGTACATATTAGTTCATCGATGCTTCGTTCAGTGGCAACATCACTGACTGCGACAACGGGTGACGCGGTTTCGAATCTCAGATAAGAGATAGGTTCCTCCGAGTTACTGACGAAAGGCAACAAACACAAAACCTAGGTCCACAAATTCCTGCCGATAACCTTCAACCGACTTATCTTTTGAGTATTTTCTAGCATAATCGCTTCATTTCAAAAGGCAGAGTTATCCCTCTTGATATATACATTATAGTTGTTACACTATACAGAATTTTACATTTTTTCAACTGTTTCAATCGCAAGTATATCGAATCCACATTTCATAACACGGGCAGTAGCTTCACATAACAGAATACGTTCTTCGTTGATTTTCACATCACCTACAATACATGAATACAAATGTAGGTTAATGTTCTTTATATAAAGTTAAAATTAAAAACACAAATCCAACTTTGAAGAAATAACGAACACTTTCAACTTGCTTCACTGTATGAATCGATACACATTGACAGACAGACAGAAAAAATCAACGTAGAAGCTGGAATACGATGTGCATCAGTTCAAGCTGACGCACTTCATAGCGGCAAGCAAAGAACAAGCGAATAGAAAAAGACTGGTACTAAGGTAGATAAAGGTGTATAGAAAGAGAAGGAATTTAAAAATGAAGGTTTTTTAAAACATTCAAGCCTTTGAAAACGTCAAAGAATAAATATATCTGAGTCATTGTGACCAATTTTCTATCATTTAACCAAGAGTCCTCAATCGCATACAACACATCGACTAGCATATGACGTTAGAAATAACGAGGTTGAATATATTTTGAATACTCTTTCACGCTTTAATTGAAGCGGCTTTGTGTAGCTTTTTATAACAGCTATTGTTAGGCTTTTAATCCGATAGCATAAAAAATCATAAATAAGATAAAATAAACAACTCAATTACAGTTCTTATCAACGTAGAAATTGATGTTGCTACATAACGTTTCATACTATTACATCCGACTTCAACTTCAAAGGCAATAAAACGAAGAATAAAGAAATAAAACAATCGAAAGCCACAAAATGAAAAAAGTAGAGGAGCAAAGTATAGCATGAAATATACAACAGTCAGGATGGAAATAAGATATGAATGCATTTGAAAATTATCTGCAGTCTCGAAACAACGGTTTCGATTATCAGAACAGAGACTGGTGCTGTTTTCCTCCTGCAGGATAATGACAGCAGGATTCAACTCAAAAGGAAGGACAGTCATACAATGCTAAGCTATGCATCTACAAATAACGCAAATCAAGAGAAGAAGGAGGAACTCTACAGATAACTGCAATCAGCACTGGACAAGACCCCACCCCAGATGGCGACATCAAAATTCTAATGGGTGGGGTGACACGAATGCCAAACTGGGAGCAGACAACACAGGAAGAGAACTCATCATGGCTCGAGAAGCGCTCGGTGAAATGAATGAGAACGGAGAACTGCTTGCAGAATTCCGCACACTCAACCATTCGGTGATTGGAGGCACTGTGTTCAAGCACAAGGATATCCACAAGGCGAAATGGATTTCACCAGATGGACACACTACACTAAGTATCAGACCGACTTCATGTTAATCTGAAAAAAGTGAAGACAGCCTACTGGACACAAGATCAGATCAAGAAGGGGAGCAGATGTAGGTTCACACCACTCACTATCTAGTGCAAGGAACCTGCCTTCCGAATCAAGTTGAAAGCCTTCAAGGAAGTTGGCGATAGACCACAGTTGTAGTTCAACGCCCAGAACAGAAACTGAAGGACAAAACTACAAGGCACATCTTCACGTCAGCCATCACGACAAGATGGGAGAAATTGAGCAACATCCCTGAAGGAACCTGTGTGGATGAACACTGGAACTCTTTGAAAGAGATGTGGAAGGAAACTTGCATAACCGTGGTCATGGTGACCGAGCGGTATTACAAACCGATACACAACAAATGTGCCTCACAGTCAAGTGGATTAACCCGCATTGAGTTGCATTGAAAATTAAAGCAAAACAATAAAATAACATTAAATTAGAATTCCCTTGATCACCAACTTTTGAAAAGAGGACAAGATAGAGTTATCAAATACATATCAGTCAATACCAACATGCAACCTAAGATTGCTGCGTAACAGTTTTAGATAACCAACCACATATCAGCACATCAAGTGAGAACGCGCCCCACGATGGAACACAGAATAATAAAGAAGTCGTAAAATGAGAAAGTAGTAAGTTTAATATGAAAATTAGGATGCGTGGGTACACAAATTTTTTGACAAAGATTTCGATCCTAAGACATACTATTTACAGTCTCAAGCCACCAGTTTCGTTGCCAGGTGAACCGTAATCTGGATGTCTACATTTCACGATACGACACAAACCGACGGTCAAAAACTTCATGGATTGATTCGGTGTTTTAGTGTAACTTCCTCCTACTTTGTCCTCATGTTTACACTCACTTCAATATGAAATTGAACAAAAGTCTGACATACACGGCTTCCCTACCAATTACGTGATATGTCAATGAGCATTTTCATTACACACTAATCGCTTAGAATGCATCACACCTTCCATTTACACGCTTAATTGTCCGGTTTGACACAAAAACGAATCTGGTAAAAGCTAAGGCTATAACGAAATAGAGGAACGTGTTTTGAGTGAATTTACTTCTTATACCGTAGTTAATAAGTACGACAAGTATGCAGCCCCACCCCGCCCCCCAATTTAATGACAGGAAGTGAATTGGTGGAATGTGTCGACCACCTTACTTAGACAGTCGATGACAAAATCTCAGCTCGGATACAGAAGGCCTGTTTCGCAGTTGCTAACTTGCGTCGTCTGTGGCACCGGCCACCGAGATATCCGACTATCTATTAAAGGACGAGTATACTACGCTGCAGTTCGTCCAATCCTGTTATACGGCTGTCAGACATGGTCGTTATAAGTAGAAGACATGAATCGATTACAGGGTGTTGATCACAGATGCCTTCGTAGCAGTGTTTACGGCTGGTGGAATCATCGTGTCAGAAATGTTGAGGTCAGGCGCTGAGTAATAGGCAAGACTGACAAGTCGATTAATGAGGTTGTGGACCTTAGTCGACTGAGATGGCTTGCACATGCCGAGTCACCGCGTACCTCAACGTACCAAGCTGGAGGAAGTTCGATTGAGTTGGAAGAGGATTCTTGGTGACAAAACAAGACAAGACGTGACACCAGTCGATGAAGTCACTTACTGTTGGCCTAAGCCGTGTCGGGAGATGTCGACTGTCTGGTTAGGGTCCTTGAGATGAAAGGAATTGTTAGTTGAGAACTCTTGGTGAAATGGTTGAAAATCGGTCGCAATGGCGCAGATTTATTCACTATTTGACATCATCTAAAGCTTGAATATTCACATTAACCGTTATCTTCAGACTGTTTATTCTCTCATACCCCTTTGTGTATTTTGATGTCACTTTTTCTATTCACCTGTTCTTTGTGTACAACTGTGAAGTGTGGCAACTTGAGCCGATGCAGCACTTGTGTGCGAGGTTCTACGTTGGTTTTGTCAGACAATCAGTTTCACGAGAAGTGTGTTAATAAGGTTTTAAGAACAGAATAACGCACAATTGGAATTCTGAGTAGTGATTTACGTACCTAATTCTGATTTAGCCAGACATGAGTTTATGTGACGTCTATTTTTTAAACACCCACAGGTTCGAACATTAGATTTTGTGAAAAAGGATTAACGGTACATACAACTCAATGTCTGAGAAATAAGAACTGGTATTTAATTATCATCATTAAGCTATAAACTTATCTGTGATTAGCTGACTAGCAACATCCCAGAATATGTGAAGTTCCCAATTACGTGTCAAACGTTGTTACTGTTCACTGTCTTTTGTTTTTTTCCTTCTAATACATTACAAGATCAGTTAGTAAAGGCTGTCGTATTAAGAATTTCTTCGGATCATTTTGCATAAATAAGTTCAATAAACTAGTGGAATGTATGTGAGTAAGCTTCATTGATATACTAAGGAGATACAATTTAAATATAGAGTTTTTCCGAAATATATGACAGCAAAAATATATGTGACAGATTTAGCTTGGCCATAATGATAACCATGCAATGTCTCTTCGATGCCTGAGATAGGTGAAAAAGATACAGTTATCAGCAGTACTACGGAAAAACAGCACAACTGTCAGGTTTATGAATTCGACTTTCAACCAGTGGGTCACGAGTTCGAAAACGGCTTAACCTATACAGGTTTGCGCAGCCAGGTAGTATCATTAGCCCTCATACATTAGGCGTGGCTCATCGCCTACTCCAAGAATGTGTAGAGTTGTTGTGAGGGTTTCGATTCGACAGTTATCTAAGCAGTAAAATACAACAATACTTGTAATTAAATAGATGTGTATGAGTTTGTATATTATCCTGTTACGCAAACTGCGATTAATTACGATTTGCATTCCACTAATCAAGGCTCAGGAGTTGAATGTCTAGACAAGTGAAAATCAATGACCTACTTAATAACATGACACCGAAACTGTACTATTTTGATTAGAAGAATACCAGAATGACTTATCCAGAAAATGATGACTGACAAACACTCACCTGTATCTTGATTACGTTCAATACAATAGCAAGAATCATAGAAGCTTGTAAAAGTACAACTCAAATCGTAAAGATAATCACATAAACTATGCAACAGAAAGTCATTTTGAATTTTCAAAGAATGTCCGGTAATCGACATAAAGCCTTAGCCAATGTGAACTCCATAGGATGATCAAATGTAAGCGTTACTGTCTGTGAGATTTGATTAATAGTCTTTTCAGAGTAGCCAGCATTTCTAATTATTGATCTGGAAAGAAAAAGTAAAAATGCATAAAATGTTAGCTTTCACGCTTATATAAACTACACCAATTATATAAGAGAGCATTTCGTAAAATAAGATTCCTATGAGGGACCATACACACACATACACACACACACACCTCTTCTATTCTACTTAACACCCGACTTTTGCTTTTCGAATGCTACTCATTTCACTCTTTAAGCGTCAAGATCCGAACGGTTGTTAATCACTAACCATTGACCTGCAGGTCCAAACCCTGCTCCTCTTACCCGGGTTTATAAAGTCATACGGCATAATCAGGCCTCGTTAAATAAGCATGCTAATCATCTAGTGCAAGAATCCGATTACATTCAGTGAGTTACGTGTTTTGGGGTACTTCCCCGGTTAATATGGATTTGTTAATTTTCACAATTACGTAATTCGCGGTGTGAACCTTTTATTTCGAGTAAACTGTGCTCTTTTTATCCACTTATTGACAAATATCAAGGATATTTACCTAATCACCTTATTCAGTTTTTCAGTTTCCATCAATAACTTCTCGTCAACTTGATAAAGCTATGTGAAATTTCGCACTATGCATACACTTTTCTATAATGTTTAGATTGTAAGCAGTGAAATGAAAATAAGCATATAGGTAACTTTCTCTTGCTTCGTCCCATGAGAAACTTTGATAACAGTAGAGTGGGTGTTCTTCAGAGAGGATAAGGGTGTAAGTAACACCTACTGTCTAAGGATGAATAACAAAATGGAATGTATCCCATTCATTGAATTTCAAATGCGTGAATATAATTAGGCTACACCCTTACTCAGCATATTGCATAACATTATTCTCACTTCCAGAGAAAACAAACAAAAACCGAAATCCAACCTTTTGTGATTTGCTGAAGCAGTTGTAACTAAAAGACTCGAACGTAATCCATGTACTCAGAAAGTAGTTTTAATTTTCTTAGTAAATACTAAATTTCATAGTTTCATAAACTTTTGTCTTTTTCATTTTATCTTTCGATCTGTTTTAAAACCTACTCCCACTTTCTGAGTTGCATTCATCTTATTATTCAATATAATGAAAATGTGTTAACCTTTTATTACGCTTACTTAGCTATGATGTCATTTTTACTAATTCTAGAATAACATTGTGTGGAACCCGCTCCCATCCTCTTTGCCATCTTCTCTAGAATGTTCACTTTATCATTGTGTAAATAGTTAACCTTTGAGTAGTGTCCTAACAACTTAATCGATTTCAGTTAATCCAAATCTTTGTTACCTTTCATCGCAATCGAAATATTCTTGTCGATTTATAGAAAGTATGTTGTATAACACGTTTCTTATCATAAACATTATATTCTATAGGTTTTAAAGCAGCTGAAGAGAACCCACCAAATATACATGCCTAGTAGTTTTGTTACTATTGTTCTCTTTTTGATTCACTCAAATTTGTGACAGGCAAGAACTGTATGAAAACAAAGTGAGTCAGATAAGTATAGTTTAATAATAAATACCCTGTGATTTACCTTATCCGAGTATAGGCATACAATAAGTAAACTGCAGTATTTCCTTTATCGTCTAACATCTGAAAGTAGGAAAGAACGTCAGAGAGAAAATCCAGAGGAAACAAATTAGCTACAAAGATCTTATACCATGAGCTGATTTAATTCAACATACCTATCCAACTGTATCTCACTATAGAAACAAACTGTGAACAAAAAGTTAAATGTTTGTTTCAAAGAGCCAATAAAAACTAGTAAAAAAAAAGGAGATTGAGTGGATGTCAATGCACTACTGTAAATGGTTATACAATATGTTTAACACAGTGAACTTAACAAGCTGGAACACTGCATCTTTAGACTGCTTACTTTCTCTCTATAGTAATCAGACAAGTAAGCGTTCCATAGGCACTTGCTACATTCCCATTTAATTTTGCTGAAATATATGGGTACACATCCTTTCATACCGTTACCCTTTGGGAAACACATCTTACGGTTGCAAATAACAAATAATATTCAAAACGTTATAGTCAACCAAATTACAGTACTTTTGAATTCCCCTTTTCGTAATTTTACACACCATCTATTGGTCAATGGCGGCCTGCTTGATCTTTGGGCTACCGGATTTTTAAAATGTTTTGAAGTAGTAGTTTTTCGAAGTAATAACAAATCGAAGGGAAAATACCACATTAGATGGAAATGGACTCTTAAATGCAAGAAAATACATCATATTTCTTTTCTTCGGATACCCATCTCGAATAGTACATTCCTCTACTAGGTGAATGAACCATCACCGCTAAACACCGTAGGCTAATCCAGCACAAACGAAAATAATTCAATTATTAGGTATGTAATTATTAAATGAATCAACATACTTCCCGCATTTTCTCCTTAACAACTGGTCAGAAGATAACACGTTATTACATTTAAACAAATAAGGACTACATTCTGATTCTTTTCTTGCAGGTAGGCATATAACAAATGCACACATATACACATGGGAGGAAGGAAATGCACTTAGCCACCTTGTGCAAATACGTGCAGTAGGCAATGAGCCACACCTATTGTATGAAGGCTAGTGATACTACCTGGCTGCCCAAACTTCGGTAGGTGGGGTGGGGCCCGAACCCGTGACTTAGTGGTTGGTAGTCATCTCCCTAAACCATTGAGCCACAGATCCATACATACACAACGGTTTTAATACACATGGTTAAATTAGATTATTGTCAGCTTGAAAACATATTTTAAGGAGGTATTCAAAAACTATGAAACATTGCAGCTCCAATCTAGTTATATGGTTTACTTTACCGTAAATAACTGTCGGATATTATCTATTTGAAATCATGGTTTAAACAATAAACCTGATTACTACGACATTGTAGAACATTTGAAATCGAATAGAAATACGCACAGCAACCACATGGAAGTCCGTGTAGTAGGTAGTGAGCCTTACCTACTGTGTGAGGGTTAGTGATACGACCTGGTTACCAACACCTCGTCAAGTGGGGCAGCGTTCAAACCCATGATCTACCGGTTGAAACTCAAGTGCCTACATCAATGAACCATAACTCCACTCGACGAAGGAAAGAAAATGCATTTTAAGTTCGGTTTCTTGGATAACCTAGAAAATAAATTGAATTACAAAGTGGTAATTTCAAAAACGCTTCGAGCTATCGAGAGCATAACTATCTAATGTGAGATACATCTTGAAGATTCAAGTCGTTTTTTCGTCTCAAGATAGTTAATTTAATATTATTTGAATCGTCACGAAAGTGCCTAAAATGTCCAAATATTCAAGCAAATACCACTAGATTACAGCACAGACAATGACCAGTTATCAGTAATGTAACGGAATTTAAAAGTGAATTCTTGTCTCTTTTTCATTTCGTAGTGAAAAAATGTACTCCGTTTATATGACAATCTACTTGTATAATGTAATTTGCTTGGTCGTGGCTAGTAGTAGAATCCAGGAAACGTATTTCATCCTATTTGGGACTTACTCATTAGCTGGATGTAGCTGCACCCCGGTGTTATTCCCGCTGAGACTCGAACTCAGCAACTATGGCTCCAAACACCAAGCCATCCTGGATTTAACCGCCAGCCACCACCAAGCAAATTACGACATAGGGAATAGTCAGACGACATTGAGACATCTGCATAGGAGTCCATGAGTCAATACAGGTCGATCAATTTCATTCGGAAGATTAACCGGAGATTACAAGTATCAATAAATAATACTACACATAACGTAAGTCCTAAAACCAAAACCATGGCGAAATCCCAAATTCTGACAGTAAAGTAACAAACTTTGGTCTCCAACACTGCATACTTATGATGAGTTATTAACTGGATTTAGTTAAACAGACAATAGGTAATAAATCTCCTTTACGTTCAAGTATCTCCTTCTTAGCATTCACTTAGAATATAAGGGTAACCAGCCTTTTACTACTGAATAGTAAGGTAATAATCGTTCAACTTTACTATACATCTTTATATACAGTAGAATAAATACTACTTACCCTGTCAAATGAGAATACATAGTCGATTGTTCGATTGTGTGACAAATCAGCATACTTAATACAACCATAAGCGACTGCCTTTTGAGCACGTTCTAACTCAGTTTCAGTTAACTCCTGAGATAAGAGAAATAAATGTAAGTGTATTATGACAGTGAAACCAAAGAAAGTATTTTATTCTATCCCGACCGACAGCTACTACCTTGACGTAGTGGTCGAGCTTGTATATCACGATGACCCAACCAGCTGTGCTGGTGGAACGCTTGTTCCCCCGAGGTATTACTATACCAGAAAGGTCTTGGATAGAGATTAGACAGAAAGCAGTTACCCTTACCCTTAAGATGTTCCTAAACAATCAAATGGTACATCATGATGGCTTAGACCGGTCATCAATGGTTAGTGGTGATCCAAAACCACAGGACGTATGTCCAACCATACCTTCCATGATACAGGCCGATTTTCGTGGCATCAAAAAGTCCTACGTGACTGGCCTTTAGCGGATGTCCCATGGGCTCTGCTTTCATACACTAACCCCTTTGCAGACACCTCAAGAAGATCTAGCCTTCCACGGTGTGGGCAGCCGGGAAGTACAAACCACTCTCATAACTCTGTCAGCACTCAAGTTCCCTCAGACTACAATCCATCACTCTCATCCATACCTCCTCCATGTCTCAGTTAACAATCCTGCATCATTTTCAATTACTTTTAGCTTTGCACTTTCGACAGCGATCTGAGTCCATAGAACAGCGTCACTGGTCTCCTTAAACCACGCTCCACTTCTTGCGGTTTTGCAGGTGTAGGCATAGCATTGATCACTAGGGCAGAAGGCTCACTACTAGACTGAATCCCAGTTGGCAGTCGCCTCTGCGCTGTCCGGCTGAACGTCTCAGTGAGAACTAAAAAGAATAGTGAAACTTGCCGTTGTCTGTTTGCAACCTCTGCTTAGACACTCACTGATTGTAGTTTGGATAAAATTAAGGACGAGTTCCGCCGAAAACCGTCTAGCCTCTTCTAGAAAGCCAAATGTCCAGACATTGCTGTTGTTGCAAGTGGTTTCAATGCACAAATGGGTAGGCTAAGTTAGGCAGAAAGGCACTTAAGTGGCACTTTCGTAATCTCAGATGAACGAACAGATAACGATGATCGCCTACTAACACTGTGTCCAGATAACCATTTATTTCTAGCTAGCACAAATTTCAGACATAAAAAAGACACTGTCTGACATGGCGTCAACCAAGCTCAGCTCAGTGATGGACATAGATAGACCACATTGTTGCCAGCCATTGCTGGAGAGGGTCGGTGGAAGACTGCCGCTCATTCAGGAGCACGTGTTTGGATGGCAACAATGGGCTGGTTGGAGCACGTATACGTCTACATCTCAATGGACGCTGGAAAAATTTAGCAACAAGACCACTAAGAGTGCAGCTCGACAATGAGAGGACTAAGGCCTCTTTCAGTGAGAAACTGGCTAGACAGATGTAGGAAAAGAGGACTATCACTCATCCAAAAAAAGATTGGTACAATCTCCAGTCTGCTGTAAAAGTAGCGCTGAAGACTGTAGCCGACTCCAAAATAATGGCTAAAAAGAGCCAGTGGATATCAGCAGCTTCTTCCGAACTAATGGATGCACGTGAACCCATCCCTGCAGGCTCTGAGTACAATAAGGAGCGAGCGCAGCTTAAAAGCAGATTGAAAAAAAGTCTATGCAACGACCGCGAACAGTGATGGGCAGCGAAGGCTAAAGAGATGGAAAAGGTAGTGGCGATTGGTAACAGTAGACAGTTATTTAGACCTATTAAGGAAACTGGGGGACGGGAGGGAAGGTCAACAACGGTTAGTGAGGCTATAGCACAGAAGGGCGGATCTGCGATCCATTAGCAGGGAAGACGACTGGAACGATGGGTGGAACAATTTGAGGAACAGTTTAGCTGGCCTCCAGCCACTACTGCGTTGCCCGCTATCAAGTCAGATCCTGAATGGAACATTGAGATATGCCCCCGAACACTAGAAATCGAGAAAGCTGTAAATAACCTGAAACGAGGAAGGGCAGCAGGACCAGACGAACTAACTCATGGGGTATATAAGGACGGTGATTTTAGTCAAGTTTAGTGGAGTATTAACTAGTGTATGGGAGTCAAATGGGATCCTCTCTGAATGGTCTCAATCATTGATTATCCCTGTTTTCATGAAAGGTGAGAAGTCATCTTGTGATAATCATAGAGGAATAGCTGGCGAAAACAGTGTCTAAGATTCTAGATTCTGAAATCATTAGATGCCTGAGTGGAGCTCGGAAACACATAGCCCGAGGAAACCAGAAAGGCTTCAGACTTGGCACTGGGGATGACGACCAAACATTCACACTCCGTAAGGTTCTAGAATACAGGCACCTTTACCAACGCTCGAAAACAGCTAGAATTTCTCGACCTGAAGGAGGCATTCGACTCCATTGATCGAGAAGTCTTATGGGAATGTCTCTCACTGAAAGGCATGCCTAGTAAGTACATCACCTTATTGAAGGCTCTCTACTCGAACACTTGTGGACGTGTTAGAACCTATGGTGAGATATCCAGGAAACTGTACTCGTCGAGTGGTGTCCGTCAAAGATGCTTACTTTATCCATTCCCATTCAATGTTATCGTCATCCAACTACACAGAGATTAACCTGGTCACAGGAGAATTTTCGCTAGATCTAGAATACGCAGATGATATAGTCCTGTTAAGTGAAGACGCTGACAAGATGCAGAGTCTTCTGGACACTTTGAGTTGCAATTTGGGAATGTTTGGGATGCGTTTCTCACAATCCAAGTGCAAATTGTTGCTCCAGAACTGGTCTTCAACGGTACCCCAGCTTCCAATAGAAAGTGTAGTGGTTGAGTGTGTTGACCACTTCACTTACCTGGGAAGTAGGATCAGCCCTGCTCTGGGTGGATCAGTGACCGACGAAATTTCTGCACGAATACAAAAGGCTCGATTGGCTTTTACCAACTTACGCCACCAGTGGCACCGCCGTGATATCCGATTGTCTATTAAGGGTCGCGTGTACTGCACAGCAGTCCGCTCTGTTCTACTGTATGACTGTGAAACATGGCCATTGAAGGTGGAAGACATGAGAAGGCTTCAGGTATTTGACCACCATTGCCTTCGTAATATAGGACGTACTCCGTGGTGTCACCACGTGAGTAACACAGAAGAATTTTAGGGAGAAGAGGAAAGTCAGTTGGTACGGTTGTGAATCTTCATCGACTGAGATGGTTGGGACACGTATTACGTATGCCTAGCCACCGATTGCCTTAAGTCTTTAACTGTTGGTTTGAGCCACATTAACCACCATACTTAATGTCATTATCTTCTCATTCTTCCTTCTTCTCTTTTACTACTTTTTGCTTCCAATTCCTCTGACTGATTTTTCTTTCTTCATCTTCCTTTTTATTGTCGTGTTACTTGATTCGCTGATATGACGTGTAGTAACTTGGCCCTATGTTGATCTTGATGATGACAACTTTATTTCATATCATTTGATTAGTTGAACTACTTATCACGAATTTTATTTATACACATCAAAACAACTAACCGATCCTCAGCGTCAATCCGAACAGAAGTTGATTTGGGGGTCAGCCTTGTAAATCGCAATAATCCAACGAGGTATGCTCATTCGAACCTGCGTTCCTTGAGATCCTACCATGTCGAAAACGTCTACTGAATGGTGGTATGTCAAAAAGCAGTTATGGTTACACTGAAAGTAGCTATGCTGCTCATCGGGATCCGAGCGCGATGCCGTACTTCTGGCTGGACGGGGTATAACAACAATAAGATGTTTCTCATGGAAAAACAGCAGTATCATGTTGATGCTGCCCTGACTATTGAAAAGAGAACCTGAAACAGGTCGACATCAAAATCAGTAAACTTCTCCCTAACCTGCGGTCTTCCGGTGACAGTAATATGGGTATTCTAGATGAATTCAAAACAAACAAGCAAGCTCAAATCTCAAATATTCACATCGACCTCGTTACCAGCCTCAAGCAGATGTTCTACATAAGCTCTTCAGTCACTCAAGACTTTCCCTCTTTTTTTCTCTCAGACACCACGCACAAACAAATACCACAGTGTAAACACACGGGAAGTACCAACTGCTTGCAGGCTTCCAGAAGCATACGAAACCTAACTAGCACTAACCTACCTACCATCTTTGCCTTTTTCTACCTCTTTTGACTTCGCTTCATGAAACCAATATTACAGCTTCCTCTCTTTCCCACCCTCAGACCAATGTAAACGATTCAAGTAAATATACCACTGATTTTGGCTTCCCAAAGCTACACCACCAATTCGACATCGGAGCTATCAAACTCGGAACCCAATGTCAAAAGGTGCAACGGGCATTTTTTGCCAAAACTCTGGGATCTCGAGTCATGGATGCACGCTGTTTCCGACATAGAGGATGAATTCTATCAAGAGCTGTTAATTTCGCTACATAAAGGAAACCGTTCAACCCTAGTCATGATAGCAGGCAACTTCAACGCTGAATCGGAGAAGCTGAGTTAGTCAGAAAGGTATCCTATAGGTATCTACGCTATTCTGTGCCAAAGTACCTACAACAGCGATCGTCTTTCACTTATTATCTCGTCTGGATCGTTAATTATTTCAGTCTATAAGAAAGAAACAAAATCTTCCTGTGACAACCACAGCGAATTTAGTTTGACCATCATCGTGTGAAAGATTCTAGGCCCCGTAGATATCTGACGCCTAACTGAAGTACCAGAACAGCAAGCTTGAAAGAGCTAGGAAGGTTTCAAACAAGCAGGATACAGAAATCAAACCTACATCTTTAGGCAGGTTATAGAACACAGGCATACTTACCAGTGCCCAACAATTGCCTTGAAGATAGCACTCGACTATGTTTACCAAGAGGTCTTGTGACGATGTCTAACTATGAATAACTATGAATGCATTACGAATCATGTATGTAATCTTAATCAAAGCCGTCTATTTCAACTGTGAGTAGGGCCAGTGGAGGTGAAGATTACCAGGTTGAGGAATCAATAGTTAAAGTCTCTTGGTTGAAAGTCAGTCACAATGGTGAAAATATGCCCCCTCTTTAAGATCTTAAGTTTGAACATTTTTATTAACCTCAGTTTTATTTTTTCGCTCTGCACCTGTGCACTTTTTTAAACTTGATATTACTCTTTCCTTTCCACTTGTTATTTGTGTACTGTTATAAAGTGTGACGACTTGGACCGAGAGCCTTCTGTGAGAGGTTATATATTGATTTCGTCTGTCTGATTGTCTTTTGCATTTATGTACGATTGCATTACAGTGCACAAATCTATGAAATATGACTTACATGGAAAAAAAGATGAATTATGAAACAGGCGATAATAATAATGGTGACAGGGTCAAGAGAGAATCCAAAGCCTATACTGTGTTACCATACAATGAAGACAACTCAGAAGCATTATGAAGAATTCTCAATAAGACTAGGATTAAAGTGGCATTTAAACCAACAAACTCGCTTAGAAACAAGTTTTGTAGGTCAAAAGATTCTATTGATTCGACTAGGCAAATTAACTGAGTTTACCGAATCATTTGCAATGACTGCAAGATCAAATACGGTCAACGTATTCGACCAGGGTCAATAGAATAACAGCAAAAAAGTTAGCTAAATCAAGACTAGTAGATCCTAAAAAGATAAGGATCTCGGCTATAGCAATGCACGCAATCGCGTACAATCACATAATAGGGTAGGATAAAGCGACATTATTAAAAACTTAGTTGAATGGAGGGAGAGATTGATAGTCGAATGTGTTTATCGAATCAACACTGAATACATGCAATAGAAATCATTCTGTACGTCGTAGTGTTAGGGATGCCTATATCCCTTATATTCCATACTTACAGTCTGCATACATTTGAACTGGTTTATTCGCATTCTTTTCCCACATGGGTCATATTTCGCATGAACCGCTATTGTTCTGATTGGCTCTTGCCTCTTTAAATGCACTAATTATCCCTTGTCTTTCAAGATTACTGTAAACTCTATAAATAGGGTCCGTTTTCACCCATAAACGTTTTCAGTCCGAGGTACTAAAAACTCATCTGATTTCCAGTCTTTTGATTTCTCTTTGCGAATCACTCGGGTTGCATCGTCTTAATCCTTGACTGCTAATCGTTAAGTATATCCGTTCGTCCTCACAATTCCGTATCATAACACCCAGATAGAAAACTATACTACCATTATCACAAAGAACGAGAGATTAGAACTACACAAACCATGTCTCAAAGTTGTAGAGTTACTTGATATGACCTATAAACAATAAATTATATCCGAAACGTTATTCAGTGAATAGTGCTGCTTCACTTTGTGACAATGCTAATAAACGGACTAAAAAGAAATTAAAACCTACCAGTGTCAAAGCTTTACTCCTATTTTAGCTATACATACTTTAGCATAGCACAAAATAATTGCGTATAAATGTCTTTACATATGAGTTACTACTAGAAATATTACTATTACTGAAATCCATCAACTTGTGTTTATTCAGAAAGGTAAGAAAAAGAGATCAGACAATATGGTTTTCTATCATACAGGAATCATTTAGTATTATAAATTGTTGAGATTTATGCTAAGGCGCTCTAGAGTTTAAGAAAAGTGACTACAGGAAAACCCTTTTGCTGTGTTTATGAATGCGATATATATCCATTTGAATGCTACTAGTTTTGCAACTTTCAACCACTTTATGCAGTCACGTTTACTACCTTGAAATCATGATAACAGCTAACGACTTTTTTAAATTCCACTTACTTTATTTCTCTCCTTTTCAACAAGCCTGCTTTTCGCTCTTTCGAGGCCTTCATCCAACAAGTCAACAAGACGTACAGTGTCACCAGAACGAGTCTTGAATTTTTTCCTTGAAACATTTAAGTAAGCAAAAACGAACAACATTTAAACATATGACCAAGAAATCATCTCAACACTTGTTTTTAAGCGGAATCTTGATGTACAAGGGTTGGAATGTCAGTGCAATGTTAAAAAGCAACTGAATGAACGTTTAGCAAAAATACAATTATTCTATGACACATTTATATTCATGCTGAGATTTTGTCAATCGGCAACCCACCAGGAACAATGAATCTTCTAAAGTGAACGAGGTAAATACACTTAACCACTACATCATACTATTCTACTGGACGGTATGTACATTGATACAAATCAGTTTTGCATCTAAAAGTTGAGGAACGTTTAAGATATAATTCCTGAGACCTAGCAAGCCAACAAACAGCTGTCTAGATTTCAGTCGACTCTAAAATTTCATATCAATGATCTTGACAGAAATGCTCTGTTTACGAACTTATTGTCAAAATAACATTAACTTAAAAAAATTTCTTATTGTTTTTCTCATGAATGTGAGTGAATTACCAGAAACAGCTTTTTGGCGTAAGCGGTTCCTATACAGAAAACCTGCCTTATATCAATTAAACAAACTGGTAAAAGAGATTTAAATAGCTAAAAAAGTAAACAGAAAATTGAATGTAATGGGAAATAAAATCACTCAAAAATCTTAGCGTGCTCAGAATACGTGCCACTGTGCGCTTCCATCAGATTTTGTGACATAAAATTTTCAAACTATTCACTATTTGTGGATAGGCTAATATACTCGCGGGTGCGTACTGCTAGGGAGTCCCGTAACAGGATGAAACAACTGTCCAATGGTTCCCCAACTGATGTCAGTCCGTGATTAATACTACCTCATAATATACTTGTCTCAACTATTCCATACGGTGATTTCTTATTTAAGACTAATTGTATCCCCACTAAGAAAGTTTTACTAATTGGTCAAAACCTTAATGTCATATGCCGTAGTTCAAAAGAACTGCTTTGCAGATAATGCCGATTTCATAAGTAAGCTCATAAAATATAAAATTTAAGAAATAACTGATATCAATCTTAAAGTCTGCTTCAAAAACGCAATCTATGTCCTGCACTCAAAAACTCCAGAATTAGAAAGTAAAACCAAATACCTACTTATCTTCGCCAAGCACCACACCAAAACCAATATGCTGAACTCTATGTACATCAGGATTATAGTAGCCAAGTATTTCTGCACCCGCAAATACTGTGTTAAAGTGAACACTCTGGAAAAAAAGAACCAAGTTTTTTTTAGCGAAGTGTGACAAATGATACTTTATGTATTCAAATTTCTTCAGCTGACGTTAAGAAACGTAAGTATGACTTAATGGTCAATAGCTACTAGCAGTAGAACCCAAGATATGCGTTTCGTCCTATTTGGAACTAGTCAGTTGGATGTGCCTACATATCTGTGACTGATGATATTCCCACCGAGACTCAAACACGGTACCCATAGTTACAAAAGCTATAACAACAATTATCACTTGTTTCACATTTATCACTACCTTTGTCTCATTAAAAAAATGAGAATGTATAGAGAGAAATAACCGAAGGTTGATGAATTGATGGGTATTATAAGTTAGCAGGGGGAAAAAACCTAAATAACGGCTCAACGTTGAACATAATAACTCATCCAACAAAAGCTGTATTTCTCGACCTGAAGGAGGCATTCGACTCCATTGATCGAGAAGTCTTATGGGAATGTCTCTCACTGAAAGGCATGCCTAGTAAGTACATCACCTTATTGAAGGCTCTCTACTCGAACACTTGTGGACGTGTTAGAACCTATGGTGAGATATCCAGGAAACTGTACTCGTCGAGTGGTGTCCGTCAAAGATGCTTACTTTATCCATTCCCATTCAATGTTATCGTCATCCAACTACACAGAGATTAACCTGGTCACAGGAGAATTTTCGCTAGATCTAGAATACGCAGATGATATAGTCCTGTTAAGTGAAGACGCTGACAAGATGCAGAGTCTTCTGGACACTTTGAGTTGCAATTTGGGAATGTTTGGGATGCGTTTCTCACAATCCAAGTGCAAATTGTTGCTCCAGAACTGGTCTTCAACGGTACCCCAGCTTCCAATAGAAAGTGTAGTGGTTGAGTGTGTTGACCACTTCACTTACCTGGGAAGTAGGATCAGCCCTGCTCTGGGTGGATCAGTGACCGACGAAATTTCTGCACGAATACAAAAGGCTCGATTGGCTTTTACCAACTTACGCCACCAGTGGCACCGCCGTGATATCCGATTGTCTATTAAGGGTCGCGTGTACTGCACAGCAGTCCGCTCTGTTCTACTGTATGACTGTGAAACATGGCCATTGAAGGTGGAAGACATGAGAAGGCTTCAGGTATTTGACCACCATTGCCTTCGTAATATAGGACGTACTCCGTGGTGTCACCACGTGAGTAACACAGAAGAATTTTAGGGAGAAGAGGAAAGTCAGTTGGTACGGTTGTGAATCTTCATCGACTGAGATGGTTGGGACACGTATTACGTATGCCTAGCCACCGATTACCTTGTCACACAATGTTGGCCGAAGCCTGTTCAGGCTAGGAAGAGGCCCAGGGTGGCCAGACTAAAACATGGCATCAATGTATGAAGTCTTTGACTGTTGGTTTGAGCCATGTGGAGTGATGCAGATTAGGCGGTTGGGGTCCGCGGGACAACGGAAACCATTGGCTGAAGACTCTACGTAATATGGCTCAGAATCGACGTCAGTGGCAGAGATGTATACACATATTATCGTCATCTTAACAACGCAATGCCGAATCTCACCATTTTCTCATTCGTCCTTTCTCTCTTTTCGTACTTTATATTTTTTTGACTGAATTTTCTTTTCTTCATCTTCCACTTCACTGTTTTTTACTCAATGTACCGATATGAGCTGTGGTAACTTGGAATTTTACGCAGTAATGCCGGGTGCTATGTTGATGGATGATGGTAGTAACTCACTCAGATTAGTAATTGGCTTAATGAAATGATGTGGAAACTTGTAACTACGATCTTTCAGTATGCTGGAGACTAGGCGATTGGTTAATGTATTTGATTTTCAATTAATCATCATCATCATTATTATCAACATAGGACCAGGCATTACTGCGTAACGGTCCGAGTTGCCACACCTCATATCAGCACATCAAGTAAAAAGGTAGTGAGGTGAAGGATGAAGATAAGTGAATGCAGTCAAAAGAAATATAAAGTACGAGAAGAAAGGAAAGAGGAGTGACAAAATAGTGAGATTCGGTATAGCGTTGTTAAGATGAGGATAATGTGTGTATACATCTGCGCCACTGACTTCGGTTCTGAGCCATATCACCTAGGGTCTCCAACCACTGGTTCCTCTTGTCCCGTGGACCCCAACCACCTAGTCTGCATCGTCCTACATGGCTTAAACCAACAGTCAGAGACTTCATACATTGGTGCCATGTTTTAGTCTGGCCACCTCGGGCCTTTTTCCAGCCTGAACCCACCTCAGCCAACATTGTGTGACGAGGCAATCGGTGACTAGGCATACGTAGTACGTGTCCCAACCATCTCAGTCGATGAAGGTTCACAACCTCGTCGACTGACTTACCTCTTCTCCCTAAAACTCTACACCTAACTTCTGCATTACTCACATGGTGACACCACGGAATACGTCCTATACTACGAAGGCAACGGTGGTCAAATACCTGAAACCTTCTCATGTCTTCCACTTTCAATGGCCATGTTTCACAGCCATACAGTAGAACAGAGCGGACTGCTGTGCAGTACACGCGACCCTTAATAGACAAACGAATATCACGGCGGCGCCATAGGTGGCGCAAATTGGCAAAAGCCAATCGAGCCTTTTGTATCCGTGCAGAAATCTCATCGGCAACTAACCCACCGGGTTGATCCTACTTCCCAGGTAAGTGAAGTGGTCAACACACTCAACCACTTCACTCTCTATTGTTAACCGCGGTACCGCTGAAGACCAGTCCTGGAGCAAAAATTTGCATTTGGGTGGTGAAAATCGCATCCCAAACATTCTCAAATTCCCACTCAAAGTGTTCAGAAGACTCTGCATCTTGTCAGCGTCTTCACCTAACAGGACTATGTCATCTGCATATTCTAGATCTAAGGAAAATTCACCTGTGATCGGTCAACGTCTTGTAATTAGGTGACGAGAGGGAAACCTCCATAAGAATATCTATGATAAAATTAAATAAGAATGGGGATAGTGGGCATCCTTGACGGACACCACTTGATGAGTATAGCTCCCTGGACAACTCACCATAGGCTCTAACATGCCCACAAGTGTTCGAGTAGAGAGCTTTCAATAAGGTGATGTACTTACTAGGCACGCCTTTCAGTGACAGACACTGCCATAAGACTTCTCGATCAACGGAGTCAAATGCCGCCTTCAGGTCGAGAAATACAGCTATTGTCGGGCGTCTGTAAGCATGCCTATGTTCCAGGACCTGGCGCAGTGTGAATATTTGGTCGATACATCCACGGCCAGGTCTAAAGCCTGCCTGGTTTTCTCGGGCTTGCTGTTCCCGAGCTCCACTCAGGCGTCGGAGAATTATAGAACTTAGGATCTTAGACACTATGTTTGTCAGGCTGATTCCTCTGTGGTTATCACAAGAGGACTTCTCGCCTTTCTTGAAGACTGGGATGATGAGTGACTTAGACCAGTCGGAGGGGATCGTATTTGATTCCCATATACTGGCTAACACTTCCGTTAGCCTGACTAAGAGAACTCTACCACCATTCTTGTATACCTCAGCAGGTAGTCCGTCTGGTCCTGCTGCCCTTCCCGTTTCAGGCTACCTACCGCTTTCTCAACTTCTTCTAGTGTTGGGGGACCTGTCTCTATGTCCCATTCAGGGTCCGACTGGATAGCGGGCAGCGCAATGGTGGCTGGAGGCCAGTTAAACTGTTCCTCAAAGTGTTCTGCCCATCGTCCCAGTCGCCTTCCCTGCGAGTGAATCGCAGATCCGTCCTTCTCCGCTATAACCTCACTAACTGTTGTTGACCATTTCCCCCCAGTCTCCTTAATAAGTCTAAATAACTGTCTACTGTTACCGATCGCCGCTGCCTTTTCCATCTCTTTAGCCTTTGCTGCCCACCACTGTTCACGATCGTTGCGCAGACTTTTCGTCAGTTTATTTTTAAGTTGCGCTCGCTCTTCATTGTACTCAGAGCCTGCAGGGATGCATTCACGTGCATCCATTAGTTTGGAAGAAGCTGCTGATATCCACTGGCTCTTTTTAGCCATTATCTTGGAGTCGGCTACAGTCTCCAGTGCTGCTTTTACAGTAGACTGAAGATGGCACCAAGCTTCTTCTGGATGAGTGACAGTCTTTTGTTCCGATAACTGCCTAGCCAACTTCTCACTGAACACGGCTTTGGTGTTTTCGTTGTCCAGCAGAACTCGTAGTGGTTTTGTTGCCAAATTTTTTCTACGTCCATTGAGACGCAGGCATATACGTGCTCGGACCAACGCATGATCGCTGTCCAAACACGTACTCCAGAAGGAGCGGCAGTCTTCCACCGATCCTCTCCAGCGATGACTAATAGCAATGTGGTCTATCTGTGTCCATCGCTGAGTCGAGCTCGGTGGACGCCAGGTCAGACAGTGCCTTTCTTTATGTCTGAAATTTGTGCTGGCTAAAAATAGGCGGTTATCTGAGCATAGTTGTAATAGGCGATCACCGTTATCTGTACGTTCAGCTGGGATTCCGAAAGTGCCACCTAAGTGCCTTTCTGCCTCACTCAGTCTACCCACCTGTGCGTTGAGGTCACCTGCAACAACCACTACGTCCGAACGTTTGGCTTTCGAGAGGAGGTTAGACAGTTTATGGTAGAACTCGTCCTTCACTTCATCCGAACTACAGTCAGTGGGTGCGTAAGCAGAGATTACAAAGAGACAACGGCGAGTCTCACTATTCCTTTTAGTTCTCACTGTGCCGTTCAGCCTCATAGCGCAGAGGCGACTATCAACTGGGATCCAGTCTAGTAGTGAGTTTTCTGCCCTGGTGCTTAATGCTATACCTACACCTGCAAGACCACGAGAGCTAGCTATCGAATCTCCAGAAACTCGAAGGGTGAATTTTGGATTCACCAGATTGGTCAGGAGAGGTCAGGTGAATAACCACACTTGGGTCCTGTATGCGTGTCTCACAAACACAGCACACATCCATGCCCGAGTTGCTAGAGTCTTTGCCAACGAAGCCTGTTGGCCAATTTGACGGAGGGTGCGGACATTGAAGGCTCCAATATGTAATTTGGAGCGTGGTTTAAGGAGACCAGTGATGCTGTTCTGTGGACTCAGATCGTTGTCGAAGGCTGCAGAGGTAGGAGAAATTGAAGATGATGCAGCATCATTAATTGAGAGACGTGAAGGAAGATTAGAAGGTAATGATGGAAGAGGAGAGTAGTCAAAAGAAACTTGGGTGCTGACAGAGTTGTGAGGGCGGTTGACACTTCCCGGCTGCCCACACCGTGGAAGGCTATTTCTTCTTAAGGTACCTGAAAGAGATTTGTGTGACCGCAGAGCCCGCCGAACATCTGCTTGAGGCCTGTCACACCCAGCCTTTTGAGTATGATTATTTTGAACTTTTGTATTTTTGGGGCCGGATGGTCGAAAGGAAACGACAAGTGAACCAACACCGCCGGCCCGGCAGACCGTGGGGCGTGGTGGAGTGTGTTATTTTTGGGGCCGACCTTTTCTAACCCCCCCTTCCACTGAGAAGGCAGCATCAGCATGGCACTGCTGGTCATCCAAGGGAAACACCTTACTGCTGTCACACCCCATCCAGCTAGCAGCAGTACGACTTCGCCCTCAGACCCCCATCATAGTGTAGCAATTTACACTATAACGGTAACTGCTTTTCGTCTAACCACTATCCAACAGACCTTTCTGGTATGGTAGGACCTCGAGGGAACAAGCGTTCCACCAGCATAGCTCGTTGGGTCATTGTGATATGCAAGCCCGACCACCACGTCAAGGTAGCAGCTATCGGTCGGGATTTTCAACTAAAGTAGAACTTTTATGATTCAGCAAACTACTTTTCAGAATTAAACACGTTGAGGATATTACAAGTGAGAATGGAAATAAGCATAATAATTTTCAGCCACAAATATTAGTCTTCATAATACACGAAATTTGTGCACTCTAAATAATAAAGATACTGTGGATTAGAGCTGCAGAGAACCAGTATCCGTCATGCTACCATGTAAGCTTTATATAGCGTGACTAACTTTAATGGTCATTATTCTGAACAAACAAGCAGTTAGTAAACTGAATAATTTTGATTAGTCTCTTCATTTATTGTAATGCTATTAATCCAGTGCTACACTAAGATTATGTGACAACATGCCGGTTAACGACAGTGCATTTTGAACTGTAGGATACAAATTTACGCAACAGATCAGTTTAAGTGAACTGCATCAGTCACATAAGTAATCTAAAACTAAACTTTTGCATACAAAAGAGGGGTAGGGGTGGAGTTAATTGAATGTCTTCTTTAAAATTCGGAAGTTGAACAAAGGGAGTGACAAAAATTCTTAATAAGGTCAACATTACGACTTGATACACCAATATTCACGTTTCTAAATGAATATTCAAATACTCATCTACTAAATAATCATTTCACATTGCTTGGGAAGACAATAACCAAACAAACAGGAACACAAAATAGTGTTGACATCAGCAAAAACGTAAAAGCTACTGACTTATTTAGAATTGCATTGAGGATATATTCTTTGCTTGTTTCGCCCTTTTAAAACTAGAAATTCGACAGACATTTTCAAACTTAAAATTCTTCAAAGCTGACCTTCATCAAAGGATTTCGCCTGAAACTGACTAAATATACTACCTTCGGTTGAACAAACACTAGTAAAATAGTTAGTAGAAGTCGTAAATGGATGCATCTCAGAAACTGAGCAAGTTTTCATCAAAACACTTTTCTCACCTGACCCATGTCTACAACATACAACACCCAATCCACCTTCTCTTCATGCAACCGCTGAAGTAAAGCAGTTAAGTCAGATGTGTCGTAGGTAAAACTACCATCCGATTTAACAACTGTGAGCGGAATTTCGCATTTTGGAGGCCATAAAATCAGTCGGCCTTCATCTTCCTGCAAAGCTTTTTGGTTTTTCAAGCCTTCAACAAACTCTACCATGCGAGTTTGATAAAATGATTCTCCTCGCTCAACAAGACTCTTGATATCCAAACGACGATAAATATCATCAAATTCTGAAAATTAAGAGGTAAAGAAAGTGTTGGAATCACTCGGTAACCATGTCAACAGATGAGCTTGATTATTTCTTATTAATTAGAAGTAAATCACACTGTAGAATACTGATTATTTAAATGCACAGGACCAAAAGAAACTCAAAAGAATCACGATTTTGATGCTGATAAAAATGAAGCGACTGGGCTAGAATTGTGGCATATTCGTCTGGCCAGCTGATTTTTAACCAAAGGGTCCCGGGTTCTCATTTCACTTCACCTATCAAGGTTTGGGTAGTTATGTAGTACTACTGTTTCTCACAAAGATGTGACTCATTGCTTAATGAATGAACAAACATTTGATTGCTGAGGTACGTTATAAAATAACTGAAGAAAGCTTTAGTATAATTTTGATCTTCACCACAGGTTACACATTTCGTATTCGAATTCAAAATGAACTCAGCAACCTTGTGCATATTCACGCAGTAGGCAGTGAGCCACATCTATTGTCTGAGGGCCAATGATACTACTTGGCTGCCTAAATCTCGGTTGGTGGGGTGGAGCTCGAACCCATGACCCATTGGTTGAAAGTCATCTCTCCAAACCCCACAGCTCTACAGGTTACACATGTATATGTATACATATATCTTTATGCATTACAACATGAACTATGATGAGAAGCTAAACTATCTTATTGGAGTTCTCGAAACGTAAGGGCTAGTAGTTGGATATTGTAGATGAAACGGCTACAAATGTGTTATAGTGACGCATATGTTCGTTGTTCATAGTCCTATAAAGAATCAATAACCTATTACTTTATACCTCGTTATTCCTCTTACACTAATGCAGTTCTCGATTGTATTCATAACTTTCTCTGTGTTGTTATGTACTGCAACAACTTGAACTGATGCATGTGTGTGCAGAATATGTCCGGTAGTTTTGCGATAATACTCACACCTACTAAAGCCCAGTTCTGTAGCAGCCAATAAATGTGTTGGAATAGTGTCTTTAGAATTACAGGTGGCCTGAAAACTATAATTTCACCTTACAAAATCTTACAAATTTCAGTAATCGCTAGCTAGTCATGGAAACTTTGGAGATATATTTCATGATTTCTGTCCACTGAGGAATAATTTCTAAGAATACCTTTTCGTGATATGTCGCAAATTTGTTTCCAAGTATTAACATATTCAGGATCGCCTTGTTGAAGTTTAACAACAGCTGAGTGGGCTCTTTGATTGAAATCTTCATCTTGATCAAATCTTAATTTGGATTCTTTATAAAAAGCCTGAAGATCAGATATAGGAGCTGTTTTACGATCAGGATACATCTCTTTCAAGTGAGCAATCAGCATACCAAATTGAGTACCCCAATCACCAATATGATTTAATTTTAGTACTTTGTGTCCAAGAAATGTCAGTAATCGAGCAATACTTTCACCAATAATAGTTGACCTGAACGGGTAAAACATAACGACAGCAAAAAGAGCAAAGATAGTCAGGTGGTAAATTTTAACAATACAAAGAGTGTAACATGGAAAATAGATATAACTGAGTGATTTATGTTGATAGTAATAGATATGACATAGTTATTGTGGATCTCTCGAGTCACGATCAAATTGAAGCAACGAGTGTAGTAGGGTATACTGTTATCTTTTTCATTAAACAGCTGAACAGAATTGTTTGCCTCAGAGCTTTCCAGTGATCCACTGCTCATAAACCTACCGAAAAGGGTAGGCAGTTTAACAGCAAAAAAACATTTAAGCCTACTACTCACCTCGATAAGATTATGGATAAAGTCATGGAAAAGCTTTACTAAGGATGTCGCCAAGCTTGGTGATGGGACGTCCATGATAAAATATCGATCCTCAAATAACGATAAAACACTATCACCTATTCGGTATTTTCTTATAATTCACGTTTCTCTTAAGTCCCCTGACAACTTTCAGTTGAGTTTTGGTCTTCTTCCAAATAATACCGTAAAACGATACAAAAGACAGCCAGCCAGAAAAGATCAACTCAGAAGTTCGTCGGTATAAGCTGCATCACTTAACAGCAGTATGAACAAAATAAACGGTAAACAAAGAGTAACACCGCACTAGAAAAAAGGTACCGGAGGGGCAATAAGAAGTAAAACGAAGATTGGTAAAAATGGTCAACCCTTAAGACAAAAGAACCAATAGCATCTGCGTCATTGTGACTGGTTTTTAGACATGCCACCAAGAATCTGTAATCATTCATTTCTATCATCTTGAGGACCTCAGACAGGTAGTCCACACCTCCTTACATGGCTTAAACAAATTTTCAAAGGCGTCATCGACTGGTACCACTTTCTTCTGACCACCCTGAGTTTTCTCCCAACCTTATCCCACTTCGGCCAACACTGAACTTCAAGGTAGGTGATGGTCCGTTAGGTGTAATACATGCCTAAGCCACTTTAGTCGGTAAATGACCGACTTACCTGCCTTCCTTGCTTAACACTTCATCTAACCTCGATGTTGCTACCGCAGTGTTTCGACCGTACGTGAACAATGCTGCGAAGATGCCTGTGATTAAAAGTTACCTCCTACTTTTAACAGCTGCATCTTACAGCCGTATAAAAGGACTGAGTGGACTTCAGTGCAGTATACTCGTCCTCTAACAGGTAACCAGATATCATGGCGGTTCCATGAATGGCATTAGTTGCCAAAAGTCAAGCAAACCCTGTTTCCGTGTCGAGATTTTGTTGGTCACTGATCCCAACAAGACTGAGCTGACTACCAACGTAAGCGAAGTGGTCAGCGCGCTCAATCACTTCACTCTCTACTGCTAGACAAGGCACCAGCTATGACAAGTTCAGAAGCAACAGTTTCCGTTTGAGCGATGAGAAACGCATCCCTAACATCCTTAAATTGTCCCCCGATGTGTCCGGAAAATTCAGAATTTTGTCAGCATCTTAACATAATAGGACTACATTATCTACGTACTCAAGGTCTACTACGAAGCCTTCTGTGACAGGATTAATTTCTGTACGGTCAGACAAAAAGAGTGAGACCATAAGTAGTCCCTAACAAAATAAAATAGCAACGGAGGGAATGGATATTTTTGACGAACACTACTCAACATACATAACTTACCTGACAACTCACCATAGGTTATGTATATGACAAAGTGTTCGAGTACAAAACCTTCAACAGGGTGATGCATCTACTTTGCACTGCTTTCAGTGAAAGACACTGTCGTAAAACCTTGCAATCGACAGAGGTTACTTCCAGGTCAAGAAATAGGGAGAGTATCAGACGCAGATAAGTGTAATCCTGTTCCAAAATCTGACAGGCGATTATTTTATCGATATACTCGCGACAGGTTCTGAAACCTACCTGATATATATATATATATATATATATATATATATATATATATATATATATATGATGCCCTTCAAATATAGTGTTAACCGCTACATGTTTCCAACACGAAGGAAGTAGATTTGAAACGAGTTCGCGGTTATAGGAAATGGACTACAATAAACTTAACTGGTTGAAGGGACCCTACTTTAAACTACCACATCGATAAATGCTGACATACAAAAAAACACCCAGATGCATAAATCATTACTTTTCTAGTACCATCTTAGCCTTAAAATTTTCAGTCCATGATGTATAGCAATAAAATTCAAAATACCTCTTAGGAAAATGTGACAAATGTTAGATAAATCGAAAGGTACAGATAAGTTTATACAGGTTCATGTATGCAATGACATGCACAGTGCGTTGGGCTGAGTTTGGCGCAAGAATAGCCCGATTGTTTCCAGCCCACTTGATGAAATAAGTCAGATGTGCATGGCATATCGTAGTGGAGGTCAAAAGAAGTTGGTGTTACCATGAATATCTCTGAAGCTTATAACTTCAGTAACATGTGGTACTTTTGGAAAATGACTGGAATAAGATGCGTCGACAAATAAACTAGATAACGTAGAGCCTGATATAACAGAAGATAGGTTCGATACAGATTCCCGACTGCATACTGAACGTTCAGTACGAAGTGGGACGTCATTTAACCTTGTTACATTCACATGCTTGAAAAGCCATTTGATGCAACTCAGAATGGTTCACTTATCTTGCACTTATTTTCTCATAGGAGTTTCATAAACTAAACCCGGAATCTTCTAATCCTCAGATGTTACCAGACCATTCATCTTCAACTTATTAGTTGCCAAATTGCATCAGACTGACATCCTAACTTGACCAACCGTGTCAGAAACTGTCAGTGGTTATTAGCTTAGCAATCTTCAGAAAACACATCAGATAGCCCAAGAGCTTTATAATACTTTTTGAAACAAGTATACACCCAAGCAACTGAACCGTTTATTTAAACAAGTGCCAAAGGGATGAAAACAGTAAGCTCCCAGGGAAAATCGAGAAATTCGTTGTTACACAGTGGCTGCTGAAATTGCCGCACGCAAGAAAGAGGTTCACCTAGCCTTCAGCAACTAATGCTATATGTGGAGCTGCGTTGATATATTACTGTCTATAAGAGGTTAGGTGTACGGCGCTACAGCTTGCTGTCGCACTATATGTCAATAAAAAGTAGCCATTAAAGATAGAGGGCGTCAGAAGGCTTCAAACCATCAACTGCCGTTAACTTTCTTGCATAGGTTATGCGTCGTGAAATCACTACATTAGCATGATAGAGGTTTTGCGTAGTTTTAGACAGAAGAGGCAAGTCAGCTAATGGCGGAGTGAACCTTCATCGACTCACGCCTGAGACAAGGTTTACGAAGGCTTAGTTACCGTTCGCCTTGATGTGTTGACTTAAATAGGATCAGACTGTAAAAATGTTGGACGTGGCAAAACTGAACACGGGACCAGTGCATGGAGTCTCTGACTGATCGTATAAACGATGTAGGAAATATAAACTCTAGTCGGGATTCGAGTGGAGCAAAATCAGTTCAGAATCTATCTCAGCGGCGGAAATCCGTAAACACCTCATTTTCATTTTAATCACCGTACAGAATTTTATGATTTGCTTATTCCTTCTGGATCACTTTGCAAGGCTTTCTACGACTCATGACTCTTTAGTTTTGCAATCTTTCATCTTGGTGCATTCGCGCTTGATGTACTAATGTGAACTGTGACAACCTGGATTATTATCTAGGAACGCCAGGTTCTACGTTAATATTCACTGACTCACTGTACAGTTTGCCAAGGAACACTCATGAAACCTGTTCCCCGATACGAGTCTTAGCAACCGGACTAATTGGAACATACCGATAGTCTACCACGAAACTGGGATACTGAAACATGGCTTTAAGCCTAAAAATAACGGCAAAGATCGTCCTTAGTTCCTAGGTTTTAAAAGCAATACTGAAAAGAAGAGGATCTACGAATATAACTGAAATTCTCAGAATTAGTTCTGGAGTATTTCTGAAATTAATCTCACCTTAGGTGCCCAACATGCATTTCTTTTGCAATGTTTGGAGAGGACATATCAACGATTACAGAATACTTTTGGCGTACGAATGGGGGCTTCACTCCGGAAAGTAGTATTTTCCTGACTTCTGAAGCAACAAACGTTTGACGGATCCAGATGTTTATGAAACCAGGAGGAACAATATCTACCTAAGGAAGATCAGATGCAAACTGTGGAACCAACTTTTTCGATCATATCGTTAACGGGTAGGGCAGCAATTATTGAATTGGCAATATCAAGTGGACTTAAATTACTGTTTATCTCCTATGCATTATACAAAAGTAATGATACATACTTTCCGGATGCCGAGAGCAGAATTGCACTGATAATCTCCGAAACTACGTTTGGTGGGCACATTAAGTTGAACAGAGTGTTTACTGTTCTTGAAAGCAGTTTTAACAGCATAGTCAAACAGTGACGAAACAGCCCCCTGCATACTTATTAGACTGTGGCTCGTCTGGTCTGTCAGATTTCTCAGATACTGCAGCATTAAGTATTAATTCTCTTTACCTCCTCCAGGTGGTTTGCCTGGTAGTTCAGTTTCTCACCATCCTCCAGCAATGTTTTGATATGGGAGAAACCCGGAGATAGAAGGAGTTTAGCGTACTCATTCTGAAGATATCTGACTTGTTTCCTCTATGTATAAAATAATGAACCCAGGGAAAGTACTCAAACCCCAACACAGTTTGATGTCATCCTCGAATACAAAAGTAGAAACAGAACTACGGATAAAATGCCTTATTGATCGAAATGTCCACGCGACGTCCTTGAATCCAATATCCAATATTGATAGTGCGAGCGTAGAAAACTGGTAGTTTTTGATCTCTCGCGTCTAGTTCTTAGGGCTTGGTTCCAGTTGTTCGGTTCACTCCTGCAGTGGACGAGGAAATCCCCTCTGCTTTCTTGCTTTTAGCTTCGGTGAGGTGGATGTTTTGTGGGTTAGTAGGTTGTAATTTGTAGAGTGATTAGGGAGCTACGGGCTGCTGGGAAGTTTAGAGAACAACCGTGACTCCTGTCTGTGTAGGTACCTGAAAGAGAATAGTAAGGTAGTGGTAAAGGAATGAAGAGAGAATAAAAAAGGGGAAAAAATAATAATTAATAATAAAGGGAAGAGAAAAGGGAAGGAGAAGAAAAGAAGGGGTGAAGAGAGAAATGAGAACGAAAGAAAAGTATTTGGGAATTGCCCGAATGGTCGCGTGGGTTTGGTTCCTACAGAAGAATTAGTAGGTAATGTGGGTGTATTAAGGAGAGAGATAGTGAGTGGTAGTTAGGAGGGAGTTGGGGGTACTGAGGTTGGTGACTACCTGAGTACGTCCGTGGTAGTCCATGCGAGGTGACATAACTGTCTAATCGCCTCTTGAAAGAGTCGATTGAAGGAGCTATAACGATGTGTCGCGGTAAGGCATTCCATAAAGCACATACTCTTAGGGAGAAAAATTTGGACCTGAGTGTGGTGTTGGCTCTCTGGTGTGCTATCTTAATGGGGTTTCCTCGTGAAGATCGTTCAGTTGCAGGCAAAATTGATTTGTTTGCATGGTCTGCCTGATGGGCGATCTTGTATGCCATAATGAGGTCACCCCTTTTCCTGCGATAACCCAAGGTAAATAGGTTGAGGTGTTTAAGTCTTTCAGGATACGTCTTTCCCCTTAGCCCCACAACACATTTTGTTGCAGTTCTTTGTATTCTTTCAAGGAGATTAGAGTCTCTCTTGAGTGTTGGAGGAGCCACCGTATTGAAGACCTCTAGGTGCGGCCGCACGTAGGATTTGAAAATGGTGAGGAAGAGTTCGGGAGTGAGGGCGCCAAGCTGTCTACGCAGAAAGTGTAGAATGGCGTTCGCTCTGGTTGTCATACCTTTGTAGTTGGAGCTGGTGTCCAAGGTGTCGGAGAAGTTGAGCCCCAAATCTTTCTCCATGGACACTCTGGTGATAGCACGGTTGCTCAACATGTACTGGAAGTCGGTCGTACTTGCCTCATTTTTACTGATGTGCATTACTTTGCACTTTTCCAGTTGAAGCTCAGGCCATTTTCCGACGACCAGAGCTCGAGTTGCTGCAAGTCCTTTTGTAGTGCTGCACAGTCGGCTTCTTCGTTTACCACCCTCCAAATTTTTATGTCGTCAGCGAAGAGGAGGATGGGTGAGGATATTTTGTCTGGCAGATCGTTGACAAACAGGAGGAACAGAAGCGGTCCTAGGATTGCTCCTTGGGATACTCCTGACGTCGACGGTCTCCACTCCGACCTTATTCTGTTCACTTTAGTGCAGAACTGCCTCCCTTCCAGGTACTCCTTGAACCAAGAGAGTAGGGGTCCACTTATACCAGCTGACATGATCTTGTGAAGCAGTACTGTGGGTGGGACACTGTCAAATGCTTTGGCTAGGTCGAGAAATACAGCATGTACAGGTTTTCTATTATCCCAGCTTTGTGTCCAGTCGTCCCAGGCGGTTAGTAAGTTGGTGGCACATGAGCGACCACTACGAAAGCCGTGCTGAGCAGTGTGGACAGTGTTTTCCTATTGAGGAATTCCCAGATGGTGTCAGCTACCAGGCTTTCCAACACTTTCGACACAATAGGGAGTAGGGCAATCGGCCTGTAGCTGCCAGGGCTTTTTCTGTCTCCTCCCTTGAAGATGGGTGACAAGATGGCACTCTTCCATTCTTTAGGGAGTTTGCACGAGTCTATTGAGTGCTCAAAGAGGTTGCGAAGTGGTTTGGTAAGCACCTCGGCGCAGTTTTTCAGAACCACTGGTTTCAGATTATCGCAGCCAGGGGACTTGCCCGGACGTAGCCTAGATAGCTTCTCGAACACCTTTTTCTCTGTAATAGAGACGTGACAGAGGTATTCGTTATTTGCGACCTGGTCGGTGTCGTGGCGAGTCGGTGTGGATCTTGTGTCAGTGCTGAGTTGGGCTTGGAAGTGTGAGCTCAAAAGCTCGGCAATCTCTAGACTGCTTAGCACACTCCCGTCATGGCCTGTGACAAGATTCACTCCCTTACTGGTCGACTTTCTTCTTGACATGAAGCGGTACAGGTTTTTGGGGTTGCTTTGTAACCTCGCTGCCAAGTTTGTTTGGTAGGAAAATCTGTCGTTACGCACTCTAATGTTACAGAGATTGCGAATCCTTTTGTAGTTCAAGAAGTCAGACTCCCTGCGTGATGTACGCCACTTGAACCAAGCCTGCTTCTTGCTCCGGATAAGCCTCTCTGTCCCACGCTTTAACCATGAGGTTCTCATTGATTGTCTGTGTGTTACTTCTGGTACACTGTGACTGATGGCCCCAGTGATTATTTTCTTCACCTCCAACCAGTGTTCATCTATTGTGAGATGAGTCCAGTCCACTGGCCATGATGCATTCATGAGGTAGTCCCTCATGGTCTCATAGTTGGCCTTGCTGTAGCAAGGGAAGGTGTTGGGCGTCTCCAGTTGCAGAGCCTCCCTAGTTATCATGGAGAAGGTGATTACAGCGTGGTCACTGAGGCCAAGGGGAGGTTGGATGCAAACATCCTCAATGAGAAGTTCATCGTTCGTCAGAACGTAGTCAAGGCGCGATGCGTTTCCGTTAGGTCCCCAGCGTGTAGCATCACCCACTTTCTCTGAGAGGCCAGCAGTCTTAATTGCATCCTTCAGCTTCTGATTGAAGGATCTGATGCGTCTCCCTTCCGTCTCGAAGAGGATGGACGGGGTGTTGAAGTCGCCGGCAATGACTACGGAATCGTAATTTGCAGAGGAAGTCGTTAAGATAGCCTTGATGATCATTTCCTTATGTGTAGGGGAGCAGGTGGGGGACCGATATATGACTCCGAGCAGGTATTTGGTACTGTGGAGAGTGAAGTAGCACCATAGGGACTCTGGGAGCTGGGTTAAGGCCGTATCGCTAACCATCCTTGCCTTTAAACAAGAGTTTACGTAGATAGCCACTCCTCCTCCTGCTCTATGTTCCCTGTCCCTGCGGAAGAGTTCCATGCCAGTAACATGCATCTCTTCGTCGGAGATGTCTGGCGAGAGCCAGGATTCGGTGATGAATATGATGTCGGAGTGCTGATGTGCACGCAGCGTCCTCATTTCTGCTACCTTCCCTCTTAGCCCCCTAACGTTGCTGTACATACATATTAGAGTGTGCCTGGTGAGGGGGAGGTCTGGTTGTGTATTTTCGCAGGATGAGAGCTTATGTGGTTGGGTCTACCCTCGCCAGTCCTCATAGGACTGGCATTGTTCCGTTTTTTGGTGTTTTGTTATTAACTTGGGTGGGGGCTGTGGCAGTGGTGGCTTCTTTACTTGATGTATCTAACTCACTGGTCAGCGCCTGTGTGACGACCACTGACTCCAGGGGTCTTGGTGGTTGTCGTCTCTCCTCTTGCCTTGTGGGTCTAGGCTTACTTTCACATATACGTATTGAGCCACCCATGCGATCCTTCGCATTATACCATGCCTGTAGAACGTCTGTGAGGGAGGCATATGAGTCGAACTGGACGGCGAGTAGTCTGGGATTGGGTATGGTCTTCAGGTGCGCTGGCCTTGGCAGTCTACTGACGCTGTTGGCCGGTATACTGTTGAGACCAACTTTGGTTGAGAGCCATTGCCATTGTTGGACGTCGTGAAAGTACCGATCTTTGACCGAGCGGTCACTTGGCAATTCTGGAATCCCATGTACAACTATAGTGTTGTTTCTGTTGGGATTTCCAACCGCTGACTTTCTCTCCTCCTCTCTTATTGACCATGGCTTGTCAGGCCTGGCCCGAATTTTACAGGCATTAACAACGTCCGGTTGTCGCGAGAGGAGGAGTGTGTCTTCAGCCTCTTTGGTAGTATTTAGGGACACACGTAGAGGGGGTGGCTTATCTCGGGGTGCACGGCTTCCTCGAGAAAGGCGACATAAAGTTGCAGGGAGGGGAGGGAGTCCTAGCATCTGACAGTAGTCGGTCCACATTCGGCTGTCAAACCGTTCCCTCTCGACCAACAATGAGTCTGTCGATACATCGACGTTGAACAAAATGATCGAGTTGGTCCTCCTGTGACCTGGGTTCGTTGTGGGTGGCACGCCCGACTTCCCAATGGGTTTGAGTAATTCCACTGGTTGTTTCTCAGTCACGGTGTGTGGGGTGTTTGGAATGGGTTTCGTAGAGGCTTCGGCGGTCGATGTCTTTGGCCATACGCTTGACGTCCCCTGGGGCCGGGTAGGAGGTATGGAGACTTGACCTAATATGGTCCCCACGCGAGGTGGCGTGCCCGCAGCTGGAGCTCTAGGTCTGTTTCCAGGTCTCTGTGTGTTATCTTTGGTGTTAACCCTACTTTATTCGAGGGTGCTGGTAGCTTTTGCGTGGCGGAGAGCATCTCCTTCAGGCTTTCTGTGCGGAGTGCGGGCATTTTCCTGCACTCTGGACAGATGTACCAGAACCACTTGCATGGTTGTCTCTTCATCAGCTTATAGTATTGTCGGGGGACTTTGGTGTCGCAGTGGCAATGCGCCCATCGTTGACATAGGTTGCATGCAAATGCCTCATCGACTACCGAAACAACTTTGGTGCAAACACTGCAGCCATCGGGTGTCGTAATACAGCCTTCCTTGCATGAATAAGGTGCTACGGATTGTGGCGAACTGCCTGTGGCTGCCTTGTGCTGAAGCCTTTTACGTCGTCTTCTATTTCCAGGCATGGTATGATCCTTGCTCAAGATAGGACTAGTTTGTGACGGGCTA